TAACTGATATAGTCCCCAATGAACCTTGTCATTTAATTACAATTATCCTACAATTCCCTTTATATAATCCTGAAGACTTGCAGCATTTGTTCCCACTTATATACCTTTTTCTGGTCATGTATTTATCAGAGGATGTTTTGAAAGGCATTTGCTTGCTTGATTGCCTGTTACATTTCCTCTTGAGAAAAACAGGAGACCGCAATGGGTAAATCTTGCAAAAAAGCAATGCCTTTAAAGACATGCCAAAAAAAACCGTACTCAGTCAGAGACGATACTGGCATTCGTCCATATTTCAGCATGCTGGTGGAAGGCAGAACCACACGTCTGCAAGGTTAGCAGATGCCGACGGCCACACACCTACGAAACAGGATGACGCCCACAAAAAAAAGCTAAGAATTAGAGCCATGCGGACGTGTTTACTTTCTCCGCAGTAAGACACAATCCAAAGCTATGTCATCAAGGACATGAGTTTTCCTAAGTCATTTACATTGTGGTTTTTTTTCTCCTTGGCACTGACGGCTAGCTCAGAGGAGAGCCTCTGACTCACCGAGACGTTCCGGTGCAGAACAGGCCATGACAGTGCAATAAATACATGACACAACAATGGTTCCGTACCCGCCTACCATGTCCCCATGACACGTTTCAGGACGAGTGAGGCTAAATGCAAATGAGGGTGATGCTCGCTTATTGGTTAGTTTCCTGCATACTGGACTCAGAGGTACAGTGATGCATTCGTCCTCAAAGATTGAGCATGTGTCAACCTGTCAGGGAGCCTCACACACTAAAAATCTTCTCCAATTACTTTCAGAATCTAAAAACATAAGAATGTGAAAAATTGATGCAAAAGATTCCCAATACATCCTGTTACAGAAAATTCAACAGGAATCAGGCAATACGCTGACCTATTATTATTATTGTTTATTTTGCTTGTGCATTTTTTTGTTAAACCTAACAGGTAATCTTATTATTCTGGAAAGGAAATAGTGTGCTTTCCAGCTCTCTGGTCATGAGTTTGTTTGATGCTGCCTCTCTCTTATGCTATATTGTTGGTTTTATTTTATCCTCTGGTGTCTGTATGGTTATTTTGTCTTGTTACTGATTACTCTGTCCGTGCCTTGTTTAGTATGTTCTGTTTCACTTGTTCCTTGATTCCTCCTAGTGTTAGCCCTCTATTCCCTGATCACTAGTGCTTGTTATTCGTCATTTATTCCACCTGTTTCTTGTTGTCCCGTGCCTTTTCTGATTGGTTGATTTTGGTTATGGTCCACACCTGCCCCTTGTTAGCCCTTGTTAACTGTGTATTTAAGTGCCTGTTCTTGTCCTGTTCGTTGCTGGTTCATTGTGGCTGTTTCCCTGTTTATTAGTTGTATTAATGATGGTTATTCCCTGATAAGTTACTGTGGTCTTCCTTTGTTTCTCCCTATTTTAGTATTGTGGTTCTGCCAGTCTAATTGTAGTTTAGTGTTTGTTTTCTTTGTACTTCATTTAGTTTGTTTCTTGTATTATCTGTTCTTGGTTTTGACCCATTGTGGTCCTTTTATTTTCTGGTTTCCCCGTGTGATCTGTATTGTTGGTTAAGCCCCTTTTTGTTGGAGCTGCTTTATGGATTGTCCTTCCCTCCTTCACTGTGCCCTGAGATTAACACCTTCCACCATAAAAACCGACACATTTTCTTGATCTATAATTCACTGCTTCCATTCCATAGAATTTTTTTAAAATACTTTTTTTTCATGCATTGTAACTTTAATAAAATTATTTTTATATAGTTCCAAGTATTTCAGTGAGATATTCTTCCTGAATTTTAAGACCATATACATGCATTAAAAGGCACTTTTAATTCCAGGCAGTTTTTGAACCTGTACCATTTAGTTCTAACTAATATTCTTTCTATTGTGCTGAATGGTTATAAGTTATAACCACAATATGACAGCGCCATCATCCACCTGTTCCTTCATTTTCATAACCACCCATCCCTGTGAGGTCATGAGGGGGCAGCAATGTCTGGAGAAATTGGAAAATATGAAAATGTTTTCCCAAGCAGTCTCGACGCTCGACAGGCCCAGCGTTGTCAAGACGGCACCTGGCATCAAAGCAGGCTTCCCCTGGAGAATTCTGGGCCACCTTCCCCGCAACATCTTCATCACTGGAGAGGGTATTTCAACCCCCTGGGCTACAGGATGACCCAGTGCAGCCAGCTTGAGTGGGAACTGTCACCAGTATGAGCCAAAAGCATCCTCATACACACAAGAAACCAGTATGTCCGTGACTCACGTTTCCCTTTGCAAATTAAAGTACAAACAAACAAAAAACCATAATCAAATGCACCTTTTAATGTCACTGGTCTACGAATCCACTGGGAGCCAGAGTAGAGTGTGCTTTCTTTAAATGTTTAGATTCGGAGAAAAGAGGAATAACTGGGAAAGACATTCAACCAGCAAGTGCCAGTGTGTTTCCTCTGCGCTCCACTGCTGTAAGACACATTTATATGCAGAAGCCAGTGTGAGCCGATCAATAAGATATTGATCTGCAAATACAGCAAGTGCTGAAGGCCCTGGCCGGAATATCAAACCCCCTCATGTAGACCTGCAAAGCACATCCATTAATAATCCTGTTCTCATTTACACCTAATCCATCCCGCTGCAATTTGACTAATTCCCCAAAGACTTCCACTGAATGTACATCCTCAATCAACATCCCGGGAAGTATTTGCTTAATCTCAGGCCAAGAGGGTCCAGGCTGTCAGCAATATGTATCGATGTAAATAACGACCTTCTAATTTGAATGGATTTTTTTTTTTTTTTTTTTTTAAAAAAAGGTCTCCCATTACGTTCTAAAATAATGCTTCGAAGAAACTAAGACAGATTCTCATGACCATTGTGTGGGTTTTCCACATCACCGTGCTGAGTATATTCCAGTCCAATCCAATGAAATGTGAAATGCAATCCAATCCAATTGAATCAAACCCACAAATTACCATTTCCAAAGTAACCAGAAAATTCATGTCTTGTCAGGATGCTTGTACAGTTCAGACTAATAAAATGTCAGCTGATATTCGACATCCATACTCGGGCTGCAATGCAACCTGTTCTATCTGTGCTGAAATAATTTAAATTCATTTGTGCATAGGTAGGTCTGCAGTACCACTTTACACGTGTAGGACTTCAAAGGTGAGATGCAGGGACTGCCACTCCATTCAGAGGTTGGTCGAAACCAACTGAAATGAACCTCATAAGATGGAAAATGCTGGAAGGTGCGGACCGATTCAAAGGGAGTGTCGGTCCTCATCATTGCTCCTCCAAGCAAAAAAAGTTATTTCCCAAACTTTCCACCTAAATAAATTTCTTACGAATGAAATGCATTCGCATGTTTAAAAGGTAGCCTACATCTTTGTACTGGGGCTGGATTTTGGGCAACAGCTGTTTAAAATGATTAATTTTTATTTTTTAGTGGTGTGACATTCTGATTTAAATATAATATTTCCGTACCAAAATGTTGCTTATTGTAGCAGTTGTGCTTCATAGAAATAACATACTGATATTTAACAAATAGGCCTAGATAGATTAATAAAATATATCAAATTCTAAATACTGCGTTTATTGTTACCATCCGTAGAGGTATATGTGTTTGTAAAACGAAGGTCAATATGTTCATTATACCTTACAGAACATCATCTATTTTATGCTGCTGTAAACACTATGCTATAATACTGACCGTCCAGATATTATGCTTATTTTAATTACATTTAATGCTGCTGCGGAATTTGGAAAGAATTTATACCGAAAAACATCGGCTAAATACGGCGTTTAAGTTCTAGCCTACTGAACATGCGCTGTAGCAAGTAGCCTGTAGTTACAGAGCTTCAGTAGGTCCGATTGCCTGGAACTATAGGTAAACACATGTTTAAAACAAATTTAGCCTAAAAGAAGTACTTTTATATTGTTTAGTTTATTGGTTGTTCCCACCGAATTTCATCCACAATGATCTGTTTAGATTTGCAAGGGCTTAGCCGGATGCGGACAAATTCAGCTGAACCTACTTTATATTAACCCAAATTCTCCTGAAATCCATGAGGCCAGGAACTCGGAAGGTGATGCTCAGAAGCTCTCGGATGGGGTCTTTTTAACTCTCTGATTTTAGTCTCTTTAATATATATATTCATGGCAAAAATTATACTCGACGCAGAAAAGTGCTATAACACGATTTACCCTATAAGCATCAAAGCATATAGTTATAAACGTTCTCGACAATATGCGTGTAATAGGTATATAGGCTAGACCATGTTTTTTTTTATTTTTTTTTTATCAGACACTAATATAAATCAGTTTGCCATCGACCGTAAAATCAACAAGAAGTTCAATCCGTTATTTTCTTTCAGTATCTTTTTGCGTTAGATGATTGACTCTGACCTCATTAAAGGTTATTCATCTAGACACTTCAAATACCTCACAATAATTAATCTAACCGCTAGTATATGCTTTCCTAAACCTTGTTGCTCACATTTTGCTACGGACCTATAGGTTATTATCAAACATATGAATGAGGCGTTTTCAAACATATGAATGTCAACCTAAATTTATAACATTCATTTTTGATAATTCTACCCATGCGAATAAAGTTTATTCTATAGGAGGAGGTACGATTTTCGCACGTATGATAAGTGTTCAATTTTCGCATTTATTTATTAATATGCGAGCGATGCGACGCGGCACCTCCGTGTTTCCTCCGCTGAGCTCGTTCTGTTTGTCCTGCCGCTGGTACCCTGGCACACGATCATCTAGCTGTATCCTTCACGGACGGCGATCGCTCGGCTGATGCCTGCGTGATCTGATTCCCTTGAAAACATGTGCAATGCTCACGCAAATACTCTACGTTTAAATCAAAAAACGCGTTGGACGTATTATTAACACGGCATAGAAATACAGTACGAGCATGCATCTGGCTCAGTAGGTATAGGGACATAGACGGCTCATCAGCGATGCTGTAGAAATACAGGAACTCACGTCTCTGAAGCGATTCCAGTGTTTGATCTTGCGGCTGTATTGCGATATGGTGGACAGCCATTGCTCATCTTCCATGAAATTCCCTGCATTTTCCGCTTCTTTCCCACTTTTCAGTTCTCCTTGCATGGAGGACCTCACCAATATCAGTATTGGGACAAGGAGGTACGCCAGATCTCTCATGCCGATCATAGCTGTCTGCAGCGCTGATTAAAAATATGATTTTGTTTTTTTTCACACTTTAACGGAGGACTTTCCTTTAGGGTACGGATGGACGGCGGACCTAGAGTGAAATGTGACCCGATTATGAGATTCTTCTTACAGACTCACTGCTATGGAAAGAGAAGGCGAGAGAGATAGCGAGAGAGAGGGAGAGAGGGAGGGAGAGAGAGGGGGGGGGTGGTGGGTGTTGGGCCGTCAGGGCTGCGTCAACAGAATAAACTGTCAAGTTATGAAATTGTAACACCTGACGTACAGTACTTAAAGTGTACGAAAGAACCAAAGCCATGAACGACATGATGTTACATCCGGGAATAGCCTTTTAAGCTGAATTTCATTATTTGTCATGACAAATTGTGAATGTAAAGTTGGAAAGCCTACAGCATGCACCTGCACACCGGCATTTCGTGCCAAATACATATGGTAATACACTGAAAAAAAAAATCGAAAAATAACAAGGAGAATATGCAACCTAGAATGCTTAAAAATGGATCTGACAAGAAGTGTCAAATTAAGAAAATTTGTATGCAAAATTTAAAAGCTGTTGTTTTACAGTTTTAAAGATATTGTGTTAAAGAAATTATTTCATTTAGAAATAGCCTAATTAGCTGCTTGGTTCGTTATGACGGCTGACAGACCATGACCGCTCTGTGTATGATGCCCATATATGCTTGCTGATATGCGACTTAACCGACTTATTTTTAAGCGAATGGTTCCTATTAAGAGCTTTTCATTTTCAAATTCATTCAAGCACGAAGCCAGTACAGCGGACATTAAGCTGGATCTCTGGGAATTCGTTTTCCTTAATGAATCATCACAAATATCATCATTAGTCTCCATACGGCCGTATTCTTCTTGTATGTCAAGAGATGGAAACGCCAGATATAACTGGCGCTATCTAAAACCTGCGGATCCCATTTTCATAATTGCAGCTCTTTTGGCATCCACATAAAGCAGCAAAATATAGGTTTTCATTAAAAAAAACGTTTTGCAGTTCAATTTCCAAGACCTAACGCTTTTAAGATTACATTATAAAATCAAATTGGATGTATCTGTGGGACTGATATTCAGGCTTTAATTCCCGGTAAGGAGCATAGAACTGGGTTTCTCATGCATATTACCAGTGAGGGTGGCACTGATCTTCCAGCTCTGATCCACCTACATGGATGAAATTTAGCTCTCTTCAAACATCACGCCTTCTATACATGAAATGCCAAAAATCACCCATTCATCTTGTGCCAGTTCTAGTCAGAGATACATTTTTGCTGTTCCTCCTTGTCGTTGGGTTCGCAGCTCTTCACCACATGGAAAGTTAATTCCAAATTATCCTTCTGGATATTTATTTGTCTTTCTCCGCTTTCCTCCCCACAATCCAGTATTGAATATGGAGTTTGAGCTTACTGGCCTGTATTTCTATAGACCAGCGATACTCGACCCTGGTCCTGGGTGCCAGTGTACAGCAGGTTTTCCATCCTACACTCTCAGAAAACAGTGTAAAATTTTGCACCTTTGCTTGTCACTTGTACCCTTGTATTTGTACCATTCAAGGTATAGAAAATGACTCTGGGGAACATCCCAGGTACAAACCGTATTAATGTATTATCAGTGGTACAGAAATGATCCTCAGAGTCCATTTCTCTACCTTAAAAGGTACAATTACACGGGTACTGCCCCATTGAGAAGCAAAGGTACAACATTTTTACCCTTATTCCTGAGAGTGTGCCTGGACTCTGATGAACCACACCTGATCACAGGCAGATAGTGACTCATCAGATATATAGGATAGAAAACCTGCAGGATACCAGAACTCCAGCATCAGCGTTGTCTACCCCTGGCCTAGATATAGTCCTAATCAACCACAGCACTTTCTATTTTGCTAATGATATCTAATCCTTTTGCTAACAATGTGGGAAGGTTCACTAGTGGTTCCGTGAGCAGTCCACTGCTGTATACTGAATGGTGAATCTAGTCTTTTCCAAGGTGTTGAGATGGATAAATCGATGCTTGATGAAGACGCCAGAACTGTTGACGTGAAAGCCTGATTCTACAGGATCCCTGTGTTTGTGGGTGGCAGAGGGACACTCAGCCAGGACTGCCAGCTGTGAGTGTCAACATAATGCCGCATTTGACAAGATGGAATAATTAATGGTCACCATCCATCATGTCACAGTCACACCAATGAATTGATTAAATTGAAAATTGCTTGACATAAGCCAGACCATGGGAATTAAAAGACTATAATTACAGGAGACCCTGCAAAGTGCTTTATTACAAGTGTTACGTGCAATTAAATGTTTTAGCACATCTCTCATTCAGAGTCAGAAGGTGTTCATCGAATGGCAGCATGAAACCTTGAATCCTGAGACACTGCGCATAAAAACACAAAACACTGGTACACTGCTAAGGAACTTTCATGTTTGTGCGACATATACAAAACGACTGTTGTTGGACGAAGTGGATTCCGTCTGGTTACGGAATGGTGATGGATATCTGGTATTTCGGCCCACCAGAGGGACAGCCGCTCAATGAACAATGGTGTTTTTATTGAACCAAGCGCTGCTCTTCCAAGCTACACTGTTCATAATAATCCCCCTCCGGTCGGCACAATGCACCCTAAGCCACGCCCCTATCCCCCCTCCCGTTTGAGTGAGCACCTGCCCTTCCGAAAGTCTCATACATGGCACTCATGTTCCCACCCTGAGCTGAGGCATATTGGGACCGGGAGCTCTAGGAACTGTCCGCTCGCTAAATTTTAAGCATTTCTGGGGAACACAAACAGGCATGGTGAACCATCAGTACAAAATTTCAAAAGTCTTTTATGCTGTCACACCGTTTCCCGCACTAAATAAACCGCACACCGAAGCAGCAAAAGGGAAACGCCAGGAGAATTATTCCAGAAAGGTGTTCTTTATTATGCTTCTTTGCCTGTGATACTCAGAGGCAGAGTGCGCATCGGAGTTGGCATACTGTCATAAGCAGTTACAGTGCACACAGTACTCCACAGCAGGTCTGTCTCCAAGGTACGTGCTGGAAAAGCGCTATTAATTGAAATGCGGGATTAACTGATGTCATCTTTCCTTTCCTCTCTTCCCTACAATCTTTTTTGTCCTTTCCGAAAGAGAAGTAGAAGGCATCTGATCTGTCTGGGGAATGTAATCAGTTAGCATGAAGGGGGGGGGGGAGGTGGAGAGCTCTTTAATTGAATCAGACGCCATCGAAATAAATAAAGCTGACCTACAGGCACAATAAAGCTGGATTTACATACACGGGCGCCCGCAGCCTCCCAGTGACAGAGTTTTATTCGGAAGGAAATATACTGCGTGTGTGATGGCCTGTGGTAACCCCGCCCCCCTACCAGAAATATTCGCGTTGTCTAAATTAAATTTCATCGCACGTGGAATCACAGCTCGTGAGCTTATTACACACGGGAATTAAGGTAGCAAGAAGCAAGATGTTAACTCGGATGCGTTTATAAAATTCGCATTATCGACAAGTTTATTAAGATGCAAGAAGACTGACGCGCAATTATCAATTAGCCACTGGGCAGTCACGTTCCAAAAGCTTAATTTTAATTACCAGCTCAGGGTGTGCCTAAGCATGCAGGACTATTTATTTATAACTGGCAGGGTGAGCATTTATTGGTTTGGCGAAAAAGGTCATAATCAAATACAAAAGGCGACATTTATAGATCGTCCATTCAAACAAAATGCAAGTTTATCTTGATGTGACACGACAGATGATATATTTTCTCAAAATTTTGCGAATAAATCCCAGTTAAGGTGTAAAAAGCCCTTCTGCACCATGAAGTGGAGGCTCTCGTCTCCAAGTAGGTCCAGAGTTGGCCGAACCAGCTGGAAGCATGTCCAGGCTGGAGGCTACCAATACCCAGCGTGTCCCTCCAGGTGACAGAAAGCTGGATGGATGCGTTGCGCGACAAGCAGTACGAGGACAACCAGCCGAAGAGACACGCAGCTCAGCCTTCACCCGGAAGACAAACCAATTAACGCAGAGAAGGGCAACATTAGCATTTTAAACCACAGCCAAGTGGCACGCGGAAGGGAGAAATAAAATGAGACGGCCGAACAGAAAGGCGACTGCTTCGTCCTTTGGCCAGGATTCCTGTTTAGCCAACTGCAGGGAATCCTTAATGCAGGACTGCCCTAATAAGCAGCTGCAGCTGCCAGTGAGTCAGAGCGTATCCCTCATAATGACCACATCCCTCAAAATGAGTGTGGATTTCTGTCTTTCAGAAGTTAATCAATTTGAATGATGTGTTAAACAAACAGTCATGCAGCTGGACAAACAAAAATCTCCAAACCCTAGGTAAATTTTTCAGAACATCTTAATTCAGGTCCATCAATGAGAGAGGGCAGGTGGACATTAAGATGAAAATGCAGTTTCTCACTGCACTCTCCTTCCACATTGTATCTTTTGCAAACAGTAGGGGGCGTAGCACCTCCTCATTACTTAGCGCTACAGTTCCTGGATCGCTATCCGAAATGCTGCATGATCTGGAAGGACAGTCTGTTGGAAACAACTGCCAGCTCCTTGGATTACAGCGTAAGAAGCCGGGAACGGGCAGCCTTGTGTCTAAAAATGCAAGTTGTCCATTTATGTTGTGAAGCACCTTACTGAAAAATCCAGATATCTGAATTGGTAAATATTATAATCTGAGTTGTTTTGGAAATGTCAGCTAAGCAACAATATAACAGTCAACAACAGCTGAGTAATGCTATATTTTGGTTATCAGATATTGTTAAATGTATTTAAGTGGTGGAGTCCTTCAGCAAGGTCATTCACCTAATCAGTAATTCAGAACAATTTTCCCCTTTGAAGGGTATGGTGGGACTCAGTTGCAGCAATCACAAGACCTGAATGCACAGGTTCAATCTATGCTGTAATCATTATCATTATCTGAAATTTTACGTCCGGCAAGTTTCCTATACAGTGTTTTTGCTTTTCCTTTTCAGAGTCACAGGGGTCTGAAGTCTATAAACTACGGGGGCAAGGCAGGGAATAACCCAAGATGGGGCACCAATCCATGACAGGGCACACATGCCATTCACAATTTGGTAACCCCAAGTCAACTTAGCACATTTTCAGATAGGGGGGTATTGAGAACCCAGAGGAAACCCCACAACGTCACAGAGAGAGCATACGAACTCCACATACATGGAACCGTGGTCCTGGAGGTGTGAGGCAATAGTGCTAGCCACCTAGCCGCCTCTTATGCTAACACAAAGAATTAAACATTCATTCACTGATGAGGACAGAGCCCCCTATAGGATACCGGAGGAAATACACAGAAGTGACCATCCATCCATCTCCCAAATACTTATCAGGTTTGGGGTCACGGGATATTTCGGAAGATCATAAGCATTTCTTTACTGATTCAGAGTTCAATTCCAGTAGTTTTCTTTAACATTCCAGTGCTTCTGAAAATACAGCTAGACTGATCTTTGGTTATCAAGATGGGATGTAATCACAGCTATTTAGAGGAACCAGTTAGCTTTATTCCACACACATGTAATCCTGGAGGTGTAAAGCGCTAATGCTACACAATGAGCCCCACGCTGTACTATTTTTAAAAGCATCCGCCTGGAAGGGTGTGGTTGTTGTTCTCCATTTTGAATGGTGTAAACTTAACCCCCAACCCTCGGTGTATAAGTCAACACTGTGCCTTCACCTTGGTTATGTATGAACTAGTTATATAAATAAGCATAAGGGCAGAGTGATTGACGTAAAATAATACTTTTTCATGCGGGGGGATGCTGGGGTAAAGTCCACACGTATATTGATGAACCAGATTGACTGATATGTCTCTAGCGCCACTAAAACTGCTCTCCATTACCGCATGAAATCCTGCTTTTCAGCTACTCTGCTGCACATTCTGCCATATCCGCATTTAACTAATTAGTGCAGCCATTACCGCAGTGCTATGTCATTAGTGCAGGACAAAGGGGCCGCGATGAGCGGCGTCCGTCGCAGATCCCGTACACCGAGCCAATGCATAATCTGAGACGCACCCGTTGCTGGGAAAAAAAAGAAAAAAAAACTTCGAGCCAGACGCGCTTGGTCCATTTCCCCGCAGTGGAGGTGGATCATTTCCAGATTGATCTTGCATCAGGGAGGACGTCTGCTGCCTTTGGATGCCGGGCTGGGATTGTGTCTCCGTGCCGCTCTGTGCTCTAATTGCTTCTGCCCAGAGAGGGTGTAGTGAGGCAGGGCCCAGCTCGCTCCCTTAAAATGACATTGAACTCAGACTGCAGCTTTTTTTTTTTGCTCTCTTAAGCAGATAGAGAAGACCGTCAGTGTTCAAAGGTGATTTCTCATCACGAGCGGAGCTCGGATTCCCCCAACCCCCCAATCTCAGCAGATTTCAGAATAGCATCTTACTGCTGTTTCAGCCGGCCAAAATGCTGCATTAGTCTCACAGCAGGTGCCCCCGTGAGTGAAAAACTGAAGCTCTGTGGAGTATCGGAGGCAATTCTCCTCTCTCGGGCCGTCTAGAGGGTACAATAACGGGGAGCGTGAAACGAATTTTGTACTCTAGGCTCCTTCTGTGTCTGTTGCTGCTGCCGCTACCTTCTAGAACCTCGTTGGAGGGAACGTGCCTCGGTGGTGCTCAGTCTTTCCTGTGGGACTCTGAGGCGCGGCTGCCTTGCACCTGACATCGTTTACGTTTCCGCTGTGCCCCAGATGCGAAGCCGGCCCCTCGGCGTTCGCTCGCTGGAAACAGAAGCGCGTTTTAAAATGCGACGGCAAGGATGATTTAAAAAAAAAAAAAAATCAATCAAAATAAATGAAAAATAAAAAGGGCCATGTACACAAGACTCATTTATCAAATTTACAGAAAGGGATGCTTAAAGTACATTAAAAGATTAAAAATAATAATAATAATAAAAAAAACTGCAACTAGAGCTTCACTCCAGAGACCACAGAGTTGGCTAATTAAGTCAAAAAAAGGGTCAGACTGGAAATGCAGCGACACGGTACGCATCCTGTCAAATTAGCTGGGCTGGAGAAAAACAGAACACAAGACAGCCGAGCGTCACGGAGCCACCGCCAAATTGGGAGCGTGACGGAACAGCGTCGGAACAACAATTACCAATGAAGGAGATGGGGACCTCCGGCATGGGGGAAGTAACTGACGTTTGGGGCTTTTAATAAGCCGTGGGCAATCGCCTCTTTCTCTGGGGTGGGGAGGAATGAGGACACTCCGTGTTCAGTGGAAAAAGATCTGCTGTAGCGCATGGATTTAAATATAGACATTTATGCCATTTATAAGAAAAATATGTGTATTTGTATTCTCAGATTAAAAAAATCACATCACAGTAACATCCACACCCTTTTTCATAACTGTCTGTTCAGTACAGGGAGGAATCCTACACAGAGGGAGAACAAACACACACAACCAGGGCTGGGATTCAAGCCCCCAGTCCTGGAAATATGAGGCTACCCATTGGGGCACCAGCTTTACCAGCGTTACCTGTATATAGTCAGAACTTGTTTTTGGATGCTATTGGTGCTAACCAGTAGTCATGGCCTAATGAAGTTTCAGGAACCATTTGTGGTACTTTCTGACCCCATTAGATGGTGCTCTCTCTTCATAAGAGCTCAAATCATGCCCCAAAGTATACCAAGAGCACCATCTAGTGGGGTTAAAAAATACAGCAAATGGTTCATGAAGCTTCATTTGGCCATTACTACTAACCAGTCTCATCATCGTCCTCCTCAACTATGTCCCAAGTGGCTCCAGCCTGTAATTTCTGACCCTTCCGAGACAGGACATCTTACTCTACATGATGCTGTACAACTACGGTTAAGATACAAACTTGATGAGATGCGAGGGATGAGATGTTCCCGTGCCAATCACCCAACACCCCGGCTATCTCCAAAAAGCAGAGAAGCTGGCACCTGAATTCACTCATAAATCTGATTGACAGCTTCTGCTTGCACTGTTCTGCTCTCCTTTCTTGGGGCAGGCTGCCCACAGTCTCTTTCAAGTTAACCCTTTCGGGGTGTCAGATGGATCAGGCTAAATCACACTGAAGGCTTGCGTCCGTTTTCTTAAGCCGACGATTTGACCAGTTGATTGAGTTCAAAGTGAAATGTTACACCAATTATAGACAGTTAAGAGCTTTAAAAAAAAGCAAATCAACAAAATAAGTTCCTGGATTTTTAAACAATAGACTGATGACTGCTCAGGTAGGAGACCAGTCTAGCGGCACCACACTACATACGCGTCCTGTGGCTAGCAGAGTAACTTCACTGCTGGGGTCTTACATCTGCAAGGATTGGCTGACGTTGTTTTCTGAATTCTACAATACTTCACATTATCTACTAAATAAATAAATGCAAATTTGTAATCATTTAACGTACCGTTGAAATAATCATAGTCGAGTGGACTTGACTGTCATACCATTTGTATAAATGTGTACAGTGGCACAAAATAACATTTCCGCAGGACCACTGTAGCGACATACAAACAGCAAGTGATGTGAGAAGGGATCCGCATCATAGGGTAGTGAGAAGCAAGGGGACTGAAGTCCAAGAAGCATACAATAGACAATGGTAATTAATAACGTAGCAGCATAAACGGTAGATTGAGGGTGGATTTGCACTGTGACTTAGGGCACTTCCGTGAACGGAGACACATTCTCTCCCCACCACGGCAGGTGAATATTGATCCTGTAGCTGGGTTTCGATCGGCCGGGCACTGCTGGATGGCGAGTACATCCATTCAGGCCCCTGTCCAGACACTCATCAGCTCAACCACCCAGACCTCAGAAAAATACCACGCTGCCCTATCTGCCGGCACGGACGGAAGTGTCATCTTCACAGTCCGCCGTTGACCTCCTCACCCATACTTGTCTTGCTGAAGCAGAGCCCTCCTCTGTCTATTTCGAAACAGCAGAGCGAATAATTCCTCTCCACCTTTTCTGTTAGGCCCTAAGTCAACTCCTCATGGAAATTTATCGCGGGAAATTAGATTATTACCAGAATTTGCTCATTTCCAAATCTGTCCACTCCCACACAAACGCCTACAAGTCCCTCTCCCCGGAGCGCTTGATGTTTACCTGCGCAGGATTCTGTCTGGCAGGGAGAAACCTTCAATCACACAAAAAATGAAGCAGCGAGAAAACATCTCAGAGAGCCGATCATGGGTAATAAATTAGACACGCGTCTAATTGCACTTATAAACAACAGGACTCCGCTTTAGTTCTCCCTGATGGGCATATCGGATCATATCAGCGTCCCATCCTAATAGTTCTCGCTCAGAAGCATTGAAGGAACACCTAAAGTTCTTGAATCAGTGTCAGAGTTTGATGGTTGGGGCTACAGCTTTTTTCTTCGTTCAAAATAGGGAGATTATACATAAATCCTCCATTATATGGAGAGATGGATTAACAAATGGGCCCAACAGGTTACATTTTGTATACGCGGTTGTCCTATGCGGGGTAACAGGGGGTCCAGAGCGTATCCCGGAAGGTACGGGTGCGAACTAAAGAATTTCCCCCAATAACCCATCAACCCAACACAGGGCACACACACCATTCACACCTATGGGCAATTTGCAACTAGAATGTGAGTTTAGTGATACGAAAGTCATTTCAAGCACGGAGGGCCAGTTTTGGTAGCCAACGATCAGTCCGTCAAGGCCCCTGACTTCGAATGCCACCCAATCTACATTCCGCCCGACCCCTAAGGTGGCCCACAGGAGGACTAACCCAGGTTGCCCCTTTGGGCTATGTTCGGCCAAGCCCCATGGGGGAGGGTCTGACCACCATGTGCTTGCCTTTGAGCTCCCTCTCCAGGAATGGCTCCAGAGTGAGGCCCCTATCTCCCCAATCGGGTAGGGTAACATGGTCCATCGTTTTATTTTCCTTCATGGGAGTTTGCCGCCGACAACATGGCTCTTAGGATCACAGAGGTATGCATCCCCTCCACCATAATTAGCCGGCAATTCACGGAGGGGATTCATTTCAAAATATTTATGTAAAATACTGCAGTCTTTGATAATGCCTTACCTACCGATGGGTGAGTAAATCTATCCAGAGTTTTTCATTTCATCTTTAGTTGTACCCTAAAAGAGCCGCATTTGTGGATGATAAAGTTCCATCATCTTTTAACCACTCATCCTGGGGCAAGGGTAAAAGGGGGGTCAGTCTGAGGTACACTGTATTACTCACAAGATTATGCAGTGCCTTAATATTCACTTCTCAAGATTCCTCTCTTGAAAATTGTACATAGCATCCATCCATCCATCCATCTGCCGCTTGTCTGGGGTCGGGTCGTGGGGGCAGCAGCCTAAGCAGGGATGCCCAGACCTCCCTCTCCCCAGTCACCCCCTCCAGCTCCTCCGGGGGAACCCTAAGGTGTTCCCAGGGCAGCCCAGAGATTTAATTAGAATTGTTCACAAATTAAAATCATCAAGTGTTCCATAAAAACATATTTAAGCCTAAATCTTTAAATGTCACTAGTTTAATTCATTTCAATATTTATAATTTGCTTTATTAATTCAGATTTTATATGCAGCTCTGGGACCTTTCTCAGCCTACAAAAGACTGCACTCTACAGTGACATCTGCTGGACTGACAAAGATCCTGCGTGCATAAATAACCAAAACAAAAATCAGCCCCCTCAGAAAACATAAACACGATGGCTAAGCCTTATCCACAGACAAAGCAGGTTGTTTACAACTGCTGCAATTAGCAGAATCATAAACAGAAGAATATATTCGCTCTGTTTCACAGACACGTTTAAGAGCGAGTTCGTTACTGTAGCCTGGATGCGGTTCGAGCGTTTGTGTTTTTCCGCAGATCTGGCTTCCTCTCCCCCAGCAGGTGTCGAGAGCAGAGGGTCATCATGAGAACGTGACGCTGCCAGCTGACATGTAGAAACCAGAGCTGTCCGTAGAATACCTCTGGGAAATCTGGACAGCATTCAGATCAAACTCTCCAAAACCATAACTGCCAAACATCTACAAACAGAAAAAAAACAGACAAGCTGTCAGGCAAAAAAAAAAATAAAAAATCAAATTACACTTTTAAGATTTAACCTTTTGCATAGTCCTTTCAGATGAGTGCTTTGCCAAATGCTACACTTAAAAAAAACCAGCAATCCATTTTCCTGTTACTCTTCAGGGCATATGTACACTGGAGAGGCTGCTGCACATCATACTAATCCTGATTATTTGTTGGATCGCAGCCAGCTCAGCTCAGAAATCAGCTCACGACAGTGTAAAACAATCTAATGAGACCTCCACACCGTGGAATTTAACAATCACTGAGGAGATCATAATCAAAATTCATCTGGAGCACAGATTGAATTACCGCCCATACCAATCTCCATTCCCATCCCGTTACGGAAATCAGCTTTTGAAATATTTAGGTTCCACTCCAGGAGCAGACACAGAATAAGAAAAAGGGCATCTTGAACACAAACAGCGTGTTACTATGGTTACCGCATAACGAACACTACCCTGGAATTCTCAAATGACGTTTCCCTAAAAGTAACACTGAATCACAAAAGCCCTCTTGACATTTAGAAGACCCTCATCGTGGATTAAAGTACATCGAAGGGTTTTCAGGAGAGGAACATCATGTCTGGCACGACATGTCTCCATCTCAAAGGCTTGTCACAGCAGGTTCCTGCAACATAATTTGGCTTAAAAGTTGTAATTTAACAACAACTTGAACAACTTGCAGAATGAATGACGTGAGTTTCCAAAGGTAGTGTGAAAATGGATTGGTGTGTGTATATATATTTTTTGACAAACAATGACAATTTTAGATGACCACTAGAGGGAAGACATGAGACATGGCGGAATAAAGCAGACCTCATCTCGGTTAGATCGGCGGTCATTTATACCTGGGATTCTGAGTGTGTGAAACTTACCCTCAATATATTCCGTGCATCAAACGATTCCCGGTCTTTCGCGTTCGGTCTCCTTGCGTCACCCTTGTCTTCAGCTAGAGACAGGAATGAGAACCTATTAGTCTTGCTGTTAAAATGTTTGGTATATTAGACACAACACCCCAGACCCAAAACACGCAGCATGTTCTCCACGCAGCATGTTTCCTGCAACGTGCCATTGGCTTGTTTACCAATAATCAACACGAGCAGGAAGGATCCTCAACATACACGGGACGGCCGTGTTATTGTTGCATTCCTCTGAATTAAGGGCGGTGGCGCTCTTTCACAGAGGCAAAAACAACACCGACAGCCGATCAGAACATCCGCTGATGGTAAACAGTTCGTGCTGAGGCAGCCTCTCCCCCCTCCCCCCCCGCACCCGGCCACCAGTGAGCACCCATACTATAAATCATGTTTGGGATCTCTGTCTGGACGGCATCCATTTGCGGATGAATGAACTCATTGTGGACGCTGCTGAAAACACACACGGCGTCCCAGGACATAAACAGAACCAGGGGCTCGGAGGAGCTGTTTGCGGGGAACCAAACTGAACACACTCTAGTTGCATAAGAGAGCTTTCGGGCTCAAACTGGTCATGCTCATAAAAACACCTGTGCTTGGCCTACTGTGACCGACTAAACTAAACACCTAGCGTGATTAACAGCAATCAGTTTTGGTACCAATGGAAAACAGTGACACGTAACTGGCTTGATTAGGCCATTTACAGTCAGAGGACCGAGACTGTTCAGCAAACCGCTGGAGTGTTAAATATGAGTGAAAAAAGCTATTTTGAACATGGTTGTTCCAGCATCAGAGAAACAGCCAGGATCGTAAAATTTTTATGCGGTACAGTGTAGAGTTTACTGGGGAGGCTGTAATGAACAATAAGATCTAGGCAGCAGCAGTTCTGAGGGTGAGAACTCCATGTTTGAGAGAGGTCTGGGCGGAAAGAAAGTAGAAAAGTGCCATGGACCAAACTCCATAAGGGAAGGTTTCAGCATCTTCTGAATTCATGCCTCCAATTAATCAGGTGCTTCTCTAAGCGAAAAACGGTCCTGCCCAGTACTAGTTGCGACCCTTTTTGACCCATTACAAAAAAGGTTTAAGCTGAAATGCAGACAGACAAGAGAAAACAAAAAAGAAAAACAATACTGGAACACTTCATCTCCATTTTGAGAACTGCTCATGTCAGGTTAGAGACACTGTCTGCTGCTCTCAGAAGCAAAGGGAAAATAACTGTATCCAGCTCTGAACAAGTATAGCCAGGTGGCTCACAGTGAACAGCTCAAGGCATTATCCCCCCTGGCAAGAATAGCTTTATAGTAAATAAAAGTCCTTGCTAGACATGAACTATTTTTTTGACAGGGGTGGTTGTGGGATTATCGATGGAGGAAGAGTCCAGGTATATAGCATCCTACAGATGCTGGTGTAGGGCTGGCAAGGGGGGGGGGGGAGACATTATATATTATAGCCAGTGCTCCTCATTTTCTCTGGTGCTCCTACATGCCCCTGTCGTTTTCCCCATTTCTTATCCACCCAACTGTCTTTGAGAATGATATCATCCAAAAACCGGCTGACCAATCAGAGTGAGCGTCTCTGCAGGGCTGCAGCGGGGGCCAGGCCATCGTGACACACGATGTTCAGCGTCCGGGCCGAGCCATGCAAACAACACCTCTTTGGACTGCAGGTTATATCCTCTAACGATCACCCTAGCTTAAAATGAAAACCGAAGAACCAATTCGAGTTGGAAGCTCTTTGCGGATACTGGATGCTTTGGGAATAGATATTTGAGTCCACCCAAAAAGATTGATGTGAAGAGATCCTTTATTTCTGCATGGGTGTAACACCCCATGAAGCCCATTAGGGGCTGGTTCTGGGTTGGAACTGGCAGCCCCAGGGAGCCCCAAGCTAATGGCAAAGGTTTGAGAGCACAAAGGTTACCTGAAGAGTCCTTCCTGAAGAGCGTGTTCATCACAGTGGCGTGCAGCTTCACTCTGTCCCACTGCTTCGCCATCAACCCCGCCGACACAAAGTGCTCCACCAGCCGGTCAGCGATCGCCTGCAACCTGTGGCCGTTGTGGGGTCAAAGGTCAGAAGTGATGTCACTCTAGCAGCTAAAGAACGTCACAGCTGACTGGGGATGTGGCTCACCGGTCAGACCCGTCCTTGGGTCGAACTTTAGCGTAAAGGACGTCCACCATGGCGGGGTCGTCGTTCATGTATTCAATCCCCTCCACCATGAGAGAAATCGGCTTCCCTCCTGCGATGTCCCTGAAGGAAAACGTCAAGAAGAACAATCAAGGTGACCTCATCCAGCACCTGCTCGACTCAAATGCCCCGAATTATATGCAGCTTTTTCATTTTATCCATGGTACTGGCATAAAAAAACCTGCATGGGATGAAAAGGCAACAATGCAGTTCAGGCAGAGTCAACAGCAGGGGGCCGATGCCTTGTGTTTGCATACGATCTCCCAGAATTCCCAGCGGCCACCTGATGAAGTCCTGGCACTGCTGGAGCAGCTGGCGAGCTCTGGCCACCTCGGTGTCACTGAGCAGAGTGAGGGTCCCCACGGTCAGGTGGAGCTTGGCGGGGTTCTGGAAGATGCTGTCACCCACGCCATGGTCCTTCAGAGACACGGTTAAGCTGTCATGAACACACTACTGCCGACGGCTGGGCCATAGACAGCGAGGTTAATGTAACCGCATGACATGGAAAAAGGACAACAGGAAGGAATATGGTTCTAGGAAATAATGTTTCCCAATCCGGTCCTCGGGGACCAGTCCAGCTCCTGGTAGTAAAAACGTGGACTGTCTGGAAGGGAGCAAAAACGTGGACTGTCTGGCAGGGAGCAAAAACGTGGACTGTCTGGCAGGGAGCAAAAACGTGGACTGTCTGGCAGGGAGCAAAAACGTGGACTGTCTACAGGTCCACAAGGACTGGACTGGGACTGTCCTATATGACTTGTTCAACATGGAAAATTTTGTATTTATGCTCCTTACTACAAATGGCTGAATCCTCCACGGTCCTTGTTTCAAACAAACAAAATCTGGCATTCCCTTGCAGAATCTTTAGCCTATTACGTTATTACTCTGATTTAGTTAGCTTTCAGATTTTTGTTTCTGAGAATTAAACTCAATTCACTACCGTCTCTATAATTCTCATTACAAAAGGATGTTCCTCACATGGATACACATTTTAACATGACATCCTGCAAGGGTCGTTTGGTGTTTGGCAAAAGACTTGGATAGACAAAGGCACCTTTGTTTTCTGATTGTACTCAGGTACCTCTCGAAAATAAATAAATAAATAAATAAATAAAAACTGTGGGCAATTTAGAGACGCCAACCGGCAAAGCAGCCTGAGAAAGCTTGTGATACAGTGAGACCATGCAAACTGTGCACACACACACACACACACACACACAGTGCAGGGAGAGAACTAAACAATCCTACCACCTGAATTACAATTACCATTACAATGCACACACTGGGTACTAAAAAACAAAAACCTAAAGAGTGAGCAAAACTATTATTCTACTTCTGGAATGACCTCTTCCTATTTCACTGTTTCACTTATTTTTTAATAGCATTATTTACAAAAAATTTTTAAATCCCCTCAGTCCCACCAATTGAAATGTCCCTACCTTGGAGCATCGCTCCAGAACATCATCCTTAAACTTCAGGAAGTGTTCCTGAATTAGCGCGTGATTCAAAGCGAAGGACAGGAAGTGCGTGAAAGGCTGCTTGGTCCTGAAGCTCTCCACCAGGAGCTCTACACGCGTCACCGCCGACGTCACCGCCGACCTCTGCTGCCCTGTGATCACTGTGCCCAAGAAAACACAAAAGGACAGGAATTAACAGCTACCCAATGAGGCGCTCTCATCACTTAGTTACAAAATCCCACCTCAGCCAGAGGGAGGCGATGTACAAAGTGTCATATTTGTTTGCCAACGTTGGCCAAAGCTCCATCCTTCCTTCAGACAATCATGCAAAATTCACCCAAGGAATGGCTTCAAAACAACAAATTAAATATCAAAATACTGCCCAAAAATAAGCAAGAGGAATATAATGGCACCAGGCGTTTTCCTGGTGGGCCAAATGGAGTCATTAGCCAGCAAATTTACAATAGGGGACCCCCCCCCACTTCAGTTTTATCATAGATATATATATAAGTGGGTGGGCCTGAGGGGCAATAGTCCAGGGCTGATTTTTTTATCCCAGTTCAGCCCTGATAAGATTCCTCAGAATTTGCAAGAAAACATGAGAAAACATAGTAGCTTGGATTTGATTCGGAAAAAAGGTGAGAATCAGCTTCCCGGTGTCACTCTGAATGAGACGTCGCAGCTTCACCCACCAATCTGCCCCTCCACCCCCTGCTTGGGAATGGCGATGCTGGTCTTGGTTTCCGTTTCAAGTCTCTTTCTCGTTTCTCCCTTCTTCCCAATAATATACCTGCAAAAGAGACAGTGACCCGTCACGTCTGTGGCACGATTTCAGCTCTCACTTAAGACGCAGACTGGCCCAGTAGAGGCTCCCGGTGTCTGCCTCCTTAGCGGCTGATTTGTAATAAGCCTCTTGCTGTAAATCAGACCGTGCAGCTCAGTCTGGAATCCTACCTTTTTTAATTTAACACTGCTTCAACCGTCTGCAACCCGTATTAATAATTCGTCTAGCTCAACCATTCAGAGTCGGTTTCAAGATGTGCAACTAGTCAAGGGCTGGTTGGGGGTCATTTTGTGAGTCCATATGCCTTGAATTAAACTTTTTTACTTTGTTTCTTTGTTTATTTTCACAATTTCTACTATCATCATTATGTTCCCACTCAGCTGCTCTCGCTTCAGGGCAGGGTATGCCGGTGACTTCTTCCCTTGATGTATTTTGGCTTTTCTTCCTTTTTCTAGAATGCTGTCTCAGGATAAAGTGTAGAAGGATGTTTTTTTTATGTTATTTGTTAATTATTTTTCAAGTTCTTCTTCCATTGTCTTTCAATAAAAAATCTGATCACAAAAAAAGCACACTGGTGCAACAAAAAACATAGATATTTTCAAGATCTAGATAAGGTTTGAAGGACAGATGGAGGCAGAGAAGGGCTGTGAGCGGAGCACTGACTTGTAAAGGACACTGGGCATGTCCATGGCACAGCGAAAGCCCTTCTCAGTTTCCTCCACAGAGACCATGTTGCAGGGTTCATCAGCACAATGCGCAGAGTCTATCGAGAAGATATGGAAGGGGACCGAGAGAGAGAGATCAGCAACCAGCACGGCAACACTGTTGCGCAGGCCTGATAACAAACCATAAATTGACAACTTGACAGTGATTTTTGAGCAATAATGTGGCACTTTCCAATAAAGAAATCCTGCACTGGGAATCAGTATCTGAAACTTTTTTTGTAACACTTCAGGTTGAGAAACAGTTACGACAATCATTTTCCATTCGGTTTCCTTCATGCAATTCTTAACCATCATAAGGTAAATCAATACAATGATCTGCAGGGTCACTGTCGAAACAGCTTGTTCATTTTAAAGTGTCGGTGAAAGTACAATTATCACAGATGGGTTAAGTACTACCTGTTCCTGTGTAAGAAAATTCATCATCATCTTCCTCTTGATAAACGTGTTCTTTGATTACATTTTTCCTGTAAATTCTTCCATTGATATTTATTAGTGTTGGTCGTAACACATCCATTTTCACCTGGAAATTTCACTGTAAAGGAAGTTTAATAAAATTCAAACCTGACATAAGCAGGCTAATCCGATAGGTGGCGCTGCACATCCTGTTCTAAAGCATCCACCGACGCATAAAAACATAAAACCAGAAACGTACGTAAGCCAGCGTCTCCCAAATCCCATCACCGTAGCCCCATAGTTTAATACTCGTTTTCATTTCTTCCACTCTCTTAGCATTTGTTATCCTGTACATTAAAATACGACTTTAAATTAAAAATCCTCCATAAGACATTTTTCATTTCCAATTATTTCCTTCGCAGCCACTCACATACGGATTAATCTATATAAATTAACAAATTTGGTCCGTAAGAGATTCATAAATGATGAGAAGGAATTGTATCACCTCAAATATGTATATTTAAATTTGTTCCAAATACTGCCGTAAGCCGTTTAAATTAGTATCTCAATCAATCACAATCAAAGTCCTCAGTCTTTCTAGAACTGGGAGGACTGGGGGCTATGATGAGCACATCTGGAAAACGCTGACTTGGACTCAAGGTGTCTGTTTAATCTTTATCATTGGTTCAAGGACTATTTCAATTAGTTAACTAGATAAAGTGAATATGGCGTCCTTGAAACATCTTTACGATGACAGTACCTAGAAATGATCATCAATAATGGTTGAATAAAAAATTAGACGGCTCACCACAGCGGAAGATACCCTGGTAGCACCAGCTCAAAACGAACGTATGAAAGTACTTATTTCTACACCGATCTTTTAAAGGCGATAACTAAATACACATAAAATGAACGAGAAAGACGTGGCGTGATATCTACTGTGAAAAAGTTTCAGCTACTATCTTACATCCCACGTTCGTCTCATGTCACTAATATTCGCATTTTTCACGCAGTGTTCTTACACAGCACCCCTAACCAGTCGATCGACGTGGATTTATTCAGAAATACAAATGAATGACATCTTCAGCAGACGAAACTTTCAGCTATTTAGGCTTTAACGCCATTTACGGCAACCTGTCGCAAATATTTTCACTGCATGAGCCGTAAAGCGATTTTCCTTTACTGCAGCGTCGTTGTTTTTCCAAGATTGTTTTTGTCTTTCTACCCGAAAACATATTGTTCGTATCTTTAAAAGGTAAAAAGCTTCAACGCCATAATGTTTATGACTTGTAAATTAAGTCTTATCTAGTACGAGTGTAGTAATTAATGAATTGCTTGCCAGTCTTTGCCATTTTACTACAAACTGTCGCAATATGGGTAATTTAAAGTCAAAAGTCGCGGGATCGTTTTAATAAGCTAGTTAAACTTCGAGTTTATCTCTTGTGTGAAATTAAACGAAAATTTGTTTAGTAAAGTATTTAGATCTGCTCGTACTTCGTATTATACTTTAATTTATTTGGCAGCTCTATCCTGGAAAATATCCGATTAACATTTCAGTTAATTAAGTCGGTTGTACTAACTACAACATAATACAGATGCAATGGTCCCTGTCTTTAATCTCTTTTATGACTGGTAGGGGTAAAACCACCCTAGGCAAAAGTAAAAGCATCAATGGTCGAGTATTTATTGCGCGGATGGCGGCTCCGACTCGCTTTTAAGTATATGGGGCTTTTAACATGTGGCGACTTGAAAGGCTCCTTTGCCACTTTGTATAGGTTGGCGGGACGGCAATGGCAGCGTCCTCCTCCTCCTCTTCGGCCGGGGGTGTCAGCGGGAGCTCTGTCACTGGGTCTGGATTTAGTGCTTCGGAGCTCATCCCCCCTCGGAAAGTGCTCTACACGTACCCAAAAGGAGCCGGGGAGATGATGGAAGGTCTCATGAGCGTTATCTCTCATCCCCATACGCAGCAACGATCCGTGGGCCAAATCGGAGTATAATCTGATAATGATTGGTGTACACTTTGGGTTTGTTGTTGCAGGGAGTTTCATTCCTGTAAAACAAATCTAAAGCAATCTGCACCTTTTCCTCATGGTTACTCCAGTTTGGCACAGCCCCTAATTTCCCTGGACTTGCTTTCCTCTTCTTCCCCTTATTCTTAATTGCTTTCTGTTCCCAGTCTCTTATCCTTGCCAATCTAATTAAAACTGACATGATGGACAGACTCGGAGCTGTGCTGATGTGTGTGTTTGTCATTTTCAGATGGCTCTGATAGGTTTTTGTGCGAGTCGGTGTTCAGCTATCAAGTCGCGTCGACGCTAAAGCAGGTGAAACACGGTAAGTGTATGTGGACTGTTTTCTGTATTCATCGCGGTGTTCCGGAGTAGCCTACTGCATGATTTTTATTTTTATTTTTTGCAAGGCTTTTCTGTCACAGGCTCTGAACGTGCCGTAAAATTTCAATCAGTGGTTAGAACTGAGAACAAAGGGCCGCTGTTTCCCAGATATATTTAGTGGATATTTATCAGCGGTTTTAACGCTAGAACTTAAGCCAAGACTTTCAATATTAAAACGAACACATTTAATTTCTTTAATCTAACGTACATTATTTATCCCCCCTCTCCAAGATCAACAGGTGTCCCGAATGGAGAAACTGGCCAGTTTGGTCGAGGAGCTGGAAGCAGACGAGTGGCGATATAAACCTATCGAGCAGCTTTTAGGATTCACGCCTTCCTAGTCATAAAGCCCACAGCGCTTTGGTTTGGGGAGGGTGAGGATTATACGTCTCTGGAATATAACATTTTTTAAGTGATTAATGCAACCTCTTTTTATCTCATTCATTTTTCCCCCTGTCACATTGTACACTGGTTAGTGTCAAAATATAGCTAAATAAACAGCAAACATTGTAACGCTATAGTCTGTGCACTCTGTATAGTATGCTAAGTGTGTGATTTATTTATTAGTAGTGTGGCTCTGTGTTCCAGCAGAAGTATTTTTGGCCTCGACTTTTTCACAACAGCAGTACTGGCGTGTGTGTGTGTTGGGGGAAGGGGGGCTGGTTGGCTCCGGCTGTCTCCTGTCCTTCACGGCTGTTGGCTGTTGAGTAACTCCAGCTGCCTTTCCTGATCGCTCGCGCGGCCGAAGCTGGCCGTGAAAGTGCTGAGACACCGCGGGTCACGTGACCGTCAAGCCTCTCCTCTGACGTCCCAACTCTTGGCTCCCTGCGGACGCGCGTCTGCTTCGAGGAATCTGGACGGGAAGCCTGTACGCTCGTGCTTTATTCTGGCAGCAAAACCTTTTGAAGTTTGTTGGAGAGCCGAAAAAAGTTTTCAGGGTCATTTGGCCATGATATAAATGCACAAGCACCTCTGAGAAAATATTTTTGCATAATTATACGTTTATTATATGATTATTATACATTTGTGTGGTTATTTTTTGTCCTCGTTTTCACGCAAAGCGTTTAATAGTATATTAAAATGTATTTGTATCCTTCTACCATGTGTGTTATTCACATAAGTATCTCATTCATCGATAAGTCTCCCAATAGAACAAAGCAGTCTGACTGGAAAGGACCTAGGGGCGTTGGATACTTTATGCAGTAAGTGTAAAATCATGCTTTACACACTCATGAATCAGTGATTGTGAAAGCCATTTCTGTAATGTTAGAGGAAAAGCGTAAGAAGGTAATGAATCATCTTAACATATAATTCGTCATTTAAATGACTGATTTCCAGAAGAGCCGCTTTCATCCGGTTTTATGATTATCTGTCTGAATCTGTGGTGAAATAAAGGAAACAAACAATACAGCCGAATACATGAAATCCCTTGACCCATAGCGCCTATTCTTTGGGATTCACACCGATCTGATGAGTTGAAAAAAGTGGGAAGCCGCGACTTTGAAACAATGGGAACTGCTTTTCTGTTTGTGCTTATGCAGCCTCCTGTTACCGCTGGGAACGCGGGACGCGATAAAAAGCCGGGTGTGACTGCAGGCTGCGGGGATCATCAGCGATAGCTGCTTGTTTTTCTTGATGGCAGGGCGATCCCGATTCCCGCATCAATTTTAACAGCCCGACATGAGCTGCCCCTCCTCCGGTGCTGTGTGCCGCCACAGCTGCTTTTCACTAACAGCGATGGGACGTGAAACATAAATACCTATCCGTGTGTGAATGACTGTCTTTTTTTCTTCTCAGATAACCACTTTTTAATTTATTTTATTTTTTGCCAGAAGCTGTTATCTGAATATCCAGGATTAATTTGAGTAGTTTGAGTTAATTTGAGTAGTTGTGTGGTATTAAAAAATGCCAAGTAAAATAAGATTTCCTTTTTTCGTTCTATCCCAGTCTGCTAGTACAGTTACTGGCAAACTTTGTCTTTTGTGAAGAGCTTTTTTTAGGTCAAGTATCTCCACAAACGTGTCTCTGGTATGCAAATATTTTTGAGGCGGTACTCTCCTACATACTGGCACATTAAAATGAAGCCAGAATAGGTATAAAGAATGAACAGTTGTACCGCTGTACAGAATGTACTGTTCTCTTAAAATTGTCTACCCTATTTTCCTTAAAAGGAAATGGCCAGCCTTCCAAGGCACGCTCCTGGGTCCTAATGCCAGCATTTTACGCGCCTGTTTATAACGGCTTTTTGTCACGCCATTGGATGCCACTCAAAGTCAATTTCCGTTATCAGATAAGGAAGTAACCTAACAAACAGTACTATAAAGACAATGTAACACTGGGACTTAGCGTTCACTGTTTAACTATTTCACAGAATCGGGCGAGCAATAAAAACACATAACGTCACTTGTTAAGCTGTTGCTGTTGTAACAGGATGCATAGTAAGGGTGAATATTATACAACACCTGCAAATATTGAAGCTTTTGAGCGGGGTGGATACAGTGTGGATGCTTTTCTGTGCAAATCTGTCTTAGACCGTGGGGCCATAGCAGGAGAAGCCCCTGCTGATCGCTAGTGTTATTCATATCTTACCATCACTATTGTTGCCTGTGTAGTGTACCTCATTGCCTTATGTTAATTGACATATTAACCCCAGGTACATATTCTAGAACGCTCAGGTGCCTGTTTTTAATACCCAGTTCAATAGGAAACCAAATGTATTACTTTATTTGGGGGGAATATCATTTAAGGGTGATAAGGTAACTTGGTGGTTAGTGCTGTTGCCTCACCGCTTCAGTGTTGTGGGTTCGAGTCCAACCTCTGCTATGTGTGTGGAGTTTGCATGTCCTGTTTGTTTTGTGCCAGTTTCCTTCAGGTACCTGGGTTTCCTCTCACAGTCCAAAGACACACAGTTGGCTGTGCCACATAGCAGGCTGCTTAATACAAGACTAACAGCTAAAACCCGAGTTCACGCTTCCCCCTGACAGAAATGCTTAGCAACTGTCTACAGAATCCATTGATGTCCTTATTATTATGCAGCTGTGACGATGCATATTTTTCAGTTCTGGAGCCATGAGCAGCACATCGAGTGACACGTAAACATGAAAAGTGCCATAATCAATTTATTTGTGTCTCTGGTCTCTAAACATACAAAGCAAGCTACTTCTGGCACCAGCATCTTTTCCATCTTATACTCAGTCTGTGCTCTTTAACCATTTATCTTGGGTAGAGGTGGGGTCTGGATCCAGGTAGCACAAGGCAGGAAGACACCCTGGGTGGGGTGACAATCCATGTAGAAGCATATACTGACTAGGGCAGGGGTCACCAACTCCGGTCCTGGAGGGCTACTATCCAGTAAGTTTTCTATCCTACCTGGTCTCTGATGAGTCACACCTGCTCCTGTTTTTACCTGAGAACTGGTGTGGCTCATCAGAAGCCAGGTAGGATAGAAAACCTACTGGATAGTAGCTCTCCAGGACCGGAGTTGGAGACCCCTGGACTAGGGTATGTTTCTAGAGGCACATAATCCATGTCTTAAAACTACAGGAGGGAAGCCATGTGACACAGAGAGCATGTCCAAATTCCACACACAGTAAAGATGTGGGATATCAACCCCTAAGCCCAGAGATATAGGGATGCAGTTCTACCAACTGAGCCACACAAGTGAAACATGCACCCTTTGCCAATTATCGGCATTTCTGCACACGCACCCGATCATTACCTATCTGGCAAGCAAACGTTTTCAGAGCGTTTATATGAAACGAAAGCATCCACCAGACCCATTTTCAGGTTTTAACTGCTAATTTCCTCTGAATTCCTGGCGTTATGGAAAAGCTAGTAGATAGTGGTTGAAATGATGGCCAAACACTCACGAAAACTTCCAAGGAAAAGATGAAATAATCACTGTTCTCAGGAACAGCATAAAAAAAATACCCAGATTGGGTGAGATTTCTGGAATGGCAATTGGGGATTGTTCTGACGCCTGTTCATTCCATGTACCAAATCCAGTGTTGTTTGTGTAGCAGACTCTGCTCCCTCATTCAGCAATAGATCTACAGCAATCTGGAAAGTGGACAGTCTCAACAGGCCCATGCACAGTGGATATAAAATGTGTATTATGTGTATGCACCAGGTTTTTGTGATGCAAAAAACAAAATCAGTCCACAATAAATAATTTCAAAACTTTTCCCACCTTTAATGTGACCTATAGCCCATACAATTCAATTGCAACACAAGCATATCTGGTGCTTCCACAAAGTATTAGTTTAAAGGTGTGCAAACTTATGCAACCAGCTTATTGTACGTTTTTAAAATACTCCCCCCCCCCGGTCTTTTAACAGGGGTGTGTACACTTTTTATATCTTTGTGCTGTGCTTTCTTATCAGCTTCTGATCTTTGATGCTCATGTACTTCGCTTTTTTCCTGAGCTGCCATCACCTTTAAGAGTGTTTTTTAGGGCACGCTTATAAAATAATACATTCTTAGCGGGAAAAGGAGTACCAGCCGCAATGTGAAGTGCGTGGCCACAGTCTTATAGATGATGTGTGGCTCATTCTCAACTGTGTTTACGCCTTTTTGGCTGTTTTTCATTTAATTCATTAAATGAAATATGTGGAAGAGGCGCCAGACAAGAGCGTGGAACTAGAAATGTAAAAAGTGTTTTATTTTATGATATGTAAGGACAGGGAGCAGGCTGCAAGACGAGACAGCTCCTCTAAGACACCTCGCTCAAACACTGAGATCTCTTGAATTCAGGGGGACTCAGACTGTAGCCTGCGAATAGCTACAGAGTAGGAGCGCATATTCTTCAAGCCAGACACACGTGCCCGCGCAGCCTTGCACGTTGCATGACCCATGCATCTGTACCCGAGCTGCATCGTATTTCGTTCAGTTAATTTTAGTTAGCAAATGTGCTCTCTACCTCTTGACGTCCGCTTTAATGTCCGTGCATAGAGGCTCGGCATTGAAAGTGGACACGGAGTTACTCATTTTGCGCGTACACACATCGTGTTTTGTTTTTCTTGCGGTTGACCGTCCAGCGTCACAGTACAAGCTGTACTTCGGCGTATGAACGCGCCTCACGTGTCACAATGCAGCGCGGCTGTGCTACTTGGCGGGCCGCCAAAGGACTCCTCTTCGCCTATATGAATTATAAGGGCTCCAGCAGAGAGTAACTGTAAGTTCTGTTACGGCCTAAGGAAAGTGTGGGAATAGCTTGCGATGCATTTTTCTGCAAAAGTAAAAACCAAAGTTCATGATCACTTTTTAAACCCTCATATACGAAAATTGTGCCTAAATCACTAAGAAACTTATTTTCCGCATTTTGTGCATTCAAGCAAAAACTTTCTTTTTTTTTTAAAAAAGAAATGATATTTAATTTCACCACACACAGTTTTACAATTTCTTTCAAGTTATGTTGCTGAACTGCTTGCAAATATTGTACTTGGGCAAATAAAATAAAAAAATCAATTGCATGCGTTTTGTTTTCAAAAATGAGTTCAGTGGTAACTAACATTTCTTATAGTGAATCATGAAATGCACACAGATTCACTTTTAATTTATCGACATTTGATATGAAATGCACTACTACTGGCGTAAGGGAAAACCTTGCAATTATATTTACACCAAATACAAGAAGGCAATACTTGTTAAAGTGAGGACAAATCAAGAGATGCCTCTGCAAAATCCTGTCCGGACTACTCGGAGCAGAACAAATACCTGAAGTAAAGAAGTTCGCCCTTCTTACAGAAACATTTAACGTACGTCTACAGAATTTACTGTAGTCATTATCACTCATCTGCTAAGACATTTTTTTTACCGCTTCTGAAAACTATTTTGCAACCTATCACTATATAGAAAATACCCTAGTGACACATAGTGATGCTTTTAAAATGCATACTGAAATTTTGGGGGGAATGTACTACTGCCTGATTGTACGAATCAAAGTATATTACATACACCAATATTCCCGTTAGATTTTACAAAAACCCTACGAAAATGTCCAAATTCGGGATAGTAAAACATTGCTTCCATAGAACTGCAGGCTCCAAACTCGCACAACTCCTTTGTTACCTACGGTGAGAATGAGGCAGGTTATATCCGCAGTGAGCAACAAAAGAATAGACGGTGCAACATTACATCATACTTTCTGCTCTGCCCATCAGTGAAAGGTTCGCGTTAAAGGTGACCCGAAATATAACTGACAAAATAACAAAAACGCTGCATGAAATGTTCTTTTAACACCTAGTTACATAACCTCACAGTTACGTTTACTATTTGTGTTTTTCTGGATTAAAATATAACGCGGTTAAATGGATAGTGGGGTAGGCGATAGGACCCAGCATCAGCAGCTCGTTTCCTTTGTCTCGCCAGGCGGGGGCCCTGAATGCGGACGTGCGGCTGTACGGCTCACTTCGGGATCGCTAGGGGCAGCGCTGCCAGTTGTTTATCGCATGAAGTAATCCGAGCCCAAGTCAGCATATTGAAAAAATTCAACTGTCACAATGAAGCCAATAATTGGTGTGACTGTAAAAATGAAATGCACACAGAACATAGATTTTTATCCTTTAAATTTGTCAGATGTAAATGTTGTGGGAGAGAACAAATTCTAAAACATACCCTTCACTGACTGATTCATTTGATTTGACTTGAAACACTGTTCATTCATTTTAACATGTTCACTTCTTAAAATAATAGCTGCGTTGTAAATATTCTAAGTTATGTGCAATGACAATAGTTGAAATACACTTTGTGGCAAAGTCTTAATTTTGCGTTGTTATCTTTGTTTCTTTGTCTGCATCTTAACACTTAGCAAGTTGTCCACTTTTTAGAGGTTTTTTGCTCGGACATGTCCGGGCAGTCTACGTGTGTTTTTGGGCGTCCCTAGTACTGGGCTCACAGGAACCGCAAACAAAAGTTGGGGGGTCATTTTCAACACCCCCCAACCCCCCATTCTTCTGGCTTCAGAAATGTTACCAGGCAGGATTGAAACGTTGTGAACGTGCCGTAAAAGCTGATTGGCTGAAAACCGTGTTGGGGGCGGTTGCTGCACCCCCCTGGCCAGATCTATATAAGCAGCCTTTGCGTTAGCAGGAGCGTTGCAGTGCCGGACTAGGTGAAGGAGGGGAGACGGGTGTTAGCTATACATTGCACTTTTTAGACCTAGGGGAATAACGTCACTGTCGGTTATTAATCACTTAAACTAAATTTGATGATACCCCTTGCCTACGTTAACATCCCTGTAAGTATCATTGCACGAGCGTTTTCTTTGCCAGTTTGGTTAGCTCCAAGTTACGCTATAGGATGACGTTATGCAGTCTGTTTGCAGTCTCTTGTTAACTGGATCGCTTTGTTCGTTGTGCGACTTGGTTGCATCAGTTTGTCTTTGAGCACTTATTTAAACGTTGTGTTTTTTTCTCTCTCTGTTTTCTGCTTACAGCATATCGCAGCCAGACGGTAACCTGCGGATTTTTATTTTTCATTGTGCAACCAAAGGACCATTAACACCATGCCGGCGCAGTGTGCGAACTTAAAAAGCTCCGATAGCAGTTTTTCCCCGACCCCAACGACTGACAGCACTGCGAAACGCCTGTCCTGGAGTAAACTGATGCAGAAGCTGACGGACTTCAGCGGATCTAGCGTCAATCATAGCATGGACTCCGATTCTGATAGCTGCAGCAGGAGCGAATGCTCAGAATCTGGTAAAGACTGTTTTCATTATATTCCCGATTTAAGCGTTGGGCTTTGTTTGCGGTGGTTTTGCTGTGGGATACATTGGCTACGGTGCAGTAGTGTCGTTTTCTTTTGCAGTTTGATCTGATTTTTTGTAATAAATTCTCTTTCAGAACCGGCACTCTTGTTGTCTGACGTCTCCTCCTGCGATGAATGTGATCTCTTTTACGATCCCGTGGAAGAAACACTTTGCAAAGAGGTAGTGCAACTCATCGCATGTAGTCTTATGGACGCTAAAGATAATGCCCTAAGGTGCACCAAACTTCTCATCCCCGATCAGCTTCTGGAGCACATAGGTCAGGAGCTTCTGCACTTAGCGGCCAGTGAGCCATGTGGCCTCCGGGGGGCGCTCATCGACCTCTGCGTTGAGCAGCAAGACGTTTGCCAGAGTGTGGAGCAGATCGCCGTGGACCCTTACCTTGTCCCAACCTTCCAGCTCACATTAGTGCTTAGGCTGGACTGTGGGGGGCTGTGGCCAAAGATCCAGGGACTCTTCTCCGCTAAATCACCCTCCGCCCCAACTGTGAGACATGCCCTTAGACTGAGCACTGGATTTCGTGTGATCAAGAAGAAACTGTACAGCTCTGAAGAGCTCCTCATCGAAGAATGTTGAATTCCGAAGACACTTTTTGGGTGGGCTTGTTTGCCAGTAGATCAATCATGATGATGGACGCTACACATCTAGCTTTGACTCAGTTGTGTGACTGTGTTCTGATCATAAGCAATTCAACTGTTCACACTTTATACCAGTGTCAGTTGTCAATGGACAGTTGCTCTTCTATTTCAGTTGTCTCATGGAAAAACTCCAGTCTTAGGTGAAGGGAAGAAGGTGGCCTGGTGCTACAATAATATTGAGGCACCTTTCCATACTGGGGTAGGGCTCACAGCTAACAGTGCAATGAAAATGGTGCTTCTCTAACACTCTAGACGGTCTACCTCAGTATGAAGACCATGGCATCATACTCATATGGTGACATTAGCAGTATTCAAATGTGAAGATGTTCATTTTAATTTGTGCTGTAACATTTTTTATTTTTTTTTTAACTTTTGTACTGTAAGGTGACTCATTGTTCTAAAGATGGGGCTATGTCTAGAAGTTTCTTGACTGGTCAATTTCAGTATGTTCACGATATAGGTTATTTTGGGAACGATTTTTTTTCATTTTCCTATGAATTGTTCACCCGTGCCTCTTAATTTATTTGATGTTCAAATATTCACATTGCACTGTTTTATACTTTTATTAAAGTAATTATAGGCGACCAATAAATGTCTTTTTTTCTAAATTTGTCATGGTTTCTTTCCTATATGAAATCCAGTTACCTGTCCGTAAGATTAACACGTATCCTATGATGCGTTTCCAGATAATTTCCAAGCTGTTCAACTCTTGTCTTGACTCGAGAAACGCAACGCTTTGTTTTACACTCCAGTTAAATAGACCCGCCACACAAAAACGCCGCATTGCAAAATCTCACATTCTGTCCGATCGTGTTTTTTTTTTTTTTTTTTTTAAAGCAAAAGGTTGTATGTTTAGGTATTTAAAGCAAACTGCGAAATGGGCGTGACCTCATTAACTCCTCATCCCCCCCAGTTCAGACGCTTTCCGCGGACGGTATTACAGACACGCATGACATGCAACAGACGTGGCTGCATCTGACAGAATTATATCCGGGAGTGTAAATTTGCCAATTTTTTTTTTGTTTTTGTTTACTTTTAGCGGTAGGCTTACGAGACATACTGCGTTATTAACCACAAAGTCGCGCTGCCATAGCCTACGAGTGTATTTGCAGTTAGGCCAGGGTAATGATTTCGCAAGAGCCTTGATTTTAATTGAATGGACCATTTCAGTCGGCTCAGTTCTCTCACAAAAGTCATGACAAAGAGTGTGGCACGCATATTTTATTCACCGTTTGTGGAAATGCATATCCAAAGTACCAATAAAGAAAAAAATGTGGGTTGATATTGTCCGCTTTGGGAATTATTTAATCTTAAATTAAAATACATTTTAATTATCCTATTTTAAAATAAAGTTTCTTTTCAATGACGCAATCATTTACATTCGAGAGTAAAGCCGTTAAGCAAAAGCCTCAAAGAATTTCGTCATACACAAAACTATGCTAAATAATTACATTTTATCCCTGCATAGTTAAGTTAAACATGTACAAAACATCAACCACCGGCTTAACTGACTAAAGACAGGCACTGAGATTCTTTTTCACAATAAAACGGACTAAAGTAAGGAAAAATGCAGTTTTCTTTCACAGAATTGATTTCCAATCAAAGACAGATTCTCACAGCGTAATAAATTACTTCCAGATGCAGAAAGCGTTCGGCGCTCCAAGCTTTCTCCGCTCAGAGAATTCCGAGAGGCTCACTGACTCCTCAAACCAGGAGAAAAAAGTTCATCATCTGCAAAAGCGGAGTGTTCAACCAAGCAATCATCCATCCCCCACTTTAAGTCGATGTTTTACGGACACATTGTAAAGACTATACACACTCACACACGCGCTCCTGACCACGATTCAAAACGTGCCTCTATTCCTTTCAAATACTTCGAAAGCACCTAAAGCAAGAAAAATGGCATTTTATAATGTCGGTACTTTGTATTGGTGACAATAATCAGGATAATTAGGGGTCCAAGCAGCGAATATCTTGAATCCGTAATGTTTTCTGTTATTTAAAGAGTAATGGCAAGAACTTCAAACAGAATGCGTTATTCTTCCCTGGGCTGGTCGCCGCGTGATTACGGCGGTCATGCTTTTCAGTAGGCAGCAGACTGCAGCGTAAAACTCCATCCTGCCAAAGTTCGTATGGCAATTGCCCACAAGCCCCTCCTTCCGGAGCGATACAAATAATCACAGCATATTCTGGCTTCCGTTAGCAGTTTAGGAAATGAGGAGATTACGGGAGAAGTCCCGGTTTTGGCTATATTCCAGCACACTGTGCTAACAAAACTGAATAAAAACCTGTTGATTTATCTTTTCTGGGGCTCAGGAGACCCAGCAGCTTCTTATTATTTGTTTAATAATAATAAAATAATAATATTTCATAAAATAGCAACAATGAAATCAATAAACGAAAAACATCTCGTGAGGAAAAAAAAAAAGTAGACAACATATCTTACACTAAAACGATCACTACAATGTTGACTGGAATAAAACGTTCATAGCCTCTCACAGTCTTGAAGGGCATTTACAGGGTGAGGTGGAGTTTGGCCAATTTTGGCGCACCTACGTTTTGTGGCAAGTGAGGTGGAGTTTTTTTTTTTTTTTTTTTAACCATGTAACATGGTCTGGATTTCAGACAGCTTGGAGCAACTTGGGGTGCCCATCTTCTGTGCCCTCTGGTACAGGTCGCTGTCGCCGAAGTACCGAGCTCGATACAGCAGGCCCTCCTCTGCAATGCAAAGAGAGAGCAAGTCATCTTCAGACAAGTGATTCCGAGCGCTGTGCAAACAGATCACAGCACAGAGCCAGTACGAGAGCAGTTATCAAGGTCAGAAAAGTCAGGTTGAGATAACCCGGGAATCACATTTACCCAAGTGCACCGCTCCTGTAACACTCAAGACACAATATGGGTCAACTGCTCAAGAAAATGGGCAGCAATGACACGCGTGACCTTTGATTGGGGTCAGTACAGTACAGCACTGGTGCGAGTCATGCTAGCCTGCGTCAGAGCGCGTGTGAAGGTAGAATCCGCTGAGGCATCGGGAAGAGAGAGCAGGTGGGAATCGGGAGGGACAGAGGAACCCAGAAGAGAAAATAACCAGAGATACGATTTCACACAGAAACCAGAATGCTCAAAGGAGCTGAAGCTGATCCCTCCCGAAACGTTTAAAGGTCACAGCGTGCAACGGAAAAGCATGGCTGTTATGATTCTAATAATGACGGTAGCTCTTATGCATGTCTGTGAACTGGATGAAAAAAAAGACAAAATATAACTTTTAAATTCAAATATTTTGTATATATGGACCTATTGAAAAAAGAAAACTAGGATGCTACAGTATCCAGTCAAGCATTTAACTGGAAATGGATATTAATGTCTCATGAAAGGTCACCTAAGACCCTGATCAATGGTTTATTACATTACAGAAGCTAAGAAAGGGGGAAACTTAAAAGGCTCCAGATCTGTTTTCCCAAAACTAGTTTTGGTAGAACGCACTGTGCTGTTTCTCCTTCCAGCAATTGTTTCTGAGGTTAGAGATGTAGTCATCCTCTACGTTCCTCTCCACGTTCTTCAGGTTCACGCCGCTGTATTCCTTAGTGAAGTGGTCTCCCACGTAGTAAGGCACCCTCAGAGTCTCCGTCAGCCGTTTGTGAATGTGGCCCGACGACCTGTGCGGGGAGAGGAGGGCACATCAACCTGAGCTTCGGTCCATCAACACACCGCGAGACCCGATCCATGAGGCCCTACAGACAGCACGTTTCTGCTCCCCCCCCCCCCCCCCCAGCTCTCTGCTAGACAGTCCACATTTCGGACTGCTTGCAGACTCCCGAAGACCGGATTGGGAAACGCTGCCATAAACATCAGATTACAATAAGACAGTTTTAACGAACAATTAAAAAAAAAAAAGTCAGCATTTTTTTTTTCTCTTTAACACAGACAACCCGAGAATCCCTAAATCTAAATTGCAACACAGAACATGGCATCTGCATTATAATACCAGCGAAATTAAATCAGACAACCACGAAGAGCAGTGACTCAGGGGTACCCTGGATGTGTCGGGCACATGGGTACATTACATCAGGGTGAAGCTGACCACTGTACTACGCAGCATCAGGAGGCCGGGCGGCAGACAGACGGAGAGGATGGCACAAAAATCAGCTCAAACCAAACCAGGACGAATAATTACATCAACCTTATTCTGTTTGTCATGCATGGGATGCAAAACGCCACTGAAATGGAAACTGAACTGGCTAATGACTGAAATGACTATCTGACATGATGTAATAGCAAATGATTACACAGCTGAATTGCATCACACGGGTCATCTTTAACAGAGAATGGATCACGCTGACTATCTGCATACAAGTAAAGGCATAAGTCCTCTCATTATTTTGGCCGTTTACCGTTACGTCAAACTACACGAAAAGGCAATCGTGAAAAAACGTAGCACGTATTACATATGTATATTGAGATAATACATTATCATTAATAATACAATTAACTACAGACCACATAAACTTCAAAGTAGAGCATTAGACTCATTCACTTCCAAGACACAATGGCCAAAGGAGTTGAAATTTGAATAATACAAATATACTTTTATTTATAAACTGTACATGAAATCCAAAATAACAAAAACATCATGAGAGAATGCACCCACAGCTTCCGGAATAGGCTCCGGACGCCCTTGTACAGGGAAGTGGGTATAGAAAATGGATGGATGGAAGGATGGATGGATAAGGGGATAATGAAATACTATAACAATGCTAACACAAGGCCTGAGGCGGTGGCTTCAGAGCCTTGTCACACTCGCTTGGGGGCTTATAGAGACATGTGGGTACACTCACGGCCTAAGGCTGAGGCTGTAGGGTGGGTTGGACACCATCATCTGACTGACGGCCGAGACCACCACCAGGATGAGGATGGGCATCAGCTGGACGAACAGGGCCAGACCCCCCTGTAGGGAGCACAGGGGCCGTCAGCGCTGCCGGTACAAACCCCCCCCAACCGCACGCGACACATCAGACATCAGACGTGTCTCTTACATCCCTCTGCTGCTCCCGGCGCTCGGGCCGCTGCTGGAAGGTGTACCGCATCCTGCCGTTGCTGTAAACGTGGACGTTGCCTTCCGACACGAAAAACAGCATGTCGGACTCTTCAGAAGGCTTGTAAAGTTACCGAATTCACCGTAATGGTGAAATCTCCACGAGAGAGTCGTTAATCAGGCACAAAATACAGAAGACACAATGTTACAAAGGACCATTAAAAAAAAAAAAAAGAGTGTTTCTGTTTCAGCAGAACTGAAAAGCAGGAAATCAAATACGGGATAAATACAGTCCTCATGCCAACTGCCCAAAGGCGGGAGACAGCCGGAGGTGAAGGAACAGACTTACTAGATGGGAAGCCGCCGCCGAAGAACATGTTGAATAGATCTTCGGGTGAAATGTCTGCCTCAAACTCATCAGTGTGGCCCTGTCGGGATGGGTGCGCTTTCTCCCCACCAAACTTGTCGTAGTGCTTCCGCTTCTCAGCGTTACTGAGGACAGCGTAGGCATTTCCGATAGCTGAGAGAAGACACGAAACGAGCGATGCAAAACGGCTTTAATGTACACTGCCCCATGGCAAGAGAAAAGAGGACATTGAAATATATTTTTAAGATACAAAGAACAATACAAAGTACTGCACGGTCATCACACGCCACAGCGGATCAGGCCGACTGACTCAATACTCCCACCTAGTGACAGGAATTATTATGAGCAGAAAAAAAACTTGAGATTTTACCTTTAAAGGCCTCAGTGGCACCTGGGGCATGGTTTTTGTCTGGGTGAAATTTCAGTGCCAGTTTTCTGTAAGCCTTTTTAAGATCGTCCTCAGTGGCATCTTTGTTCACTCCCAGGATCTCGTAATAGTCTTTACACTGCTTTATCCTGCAAAGCAAACCAGGCAGACATTAGGATATGGGGACAGAGGTGGAAGGTTCAAGTCCAGGAAGTAGAAATCCTGACCAAGTTTTTGTTTCAACCAGCCAGTTGAGTTACTCTGTGACTGTGACTCTTTATAATCAGCTGGTTGGTTGAAACAAAAGTTTGGTCTGGATTTGTACTTTCTGGACCTGAGGGGAGACTAACAGAAATGTCCACAAACACAGTACACCCAGATACTGATCCTGTCATGATCAGAAATGATAAATTAATCACAAAGTAATTTGCACTTCCAAGCAGTTTGCTTGTTATTGGCACATTAGGATTTCATCATTAGGCCATATTGGGCCTTCCACAAAAAAAAAAATCATTAGGGTATTGTGAACATATATCAATATATCAACAATTTCTAAACTTGCTTTAAAAACCAATATATAATAAAACTGCTCTGCCGAATAGGGGGGGGATAGTTTTAGCTGACGGTATGGGTGGGGGTACCATCTGTAATTTTCACCAGGTGGCTGCCTTGCCTATGCCGACACCTGGCCATTCGAGTTTATGTATTCAGACCCGATTTCCTTTAGAAATGCAACTGGCAGTGAGTACGACTGCCGAGTGCTGCGGTTAGCCAAGGTGTCGGGCCCGCGGACCTGCATGGGACCCGCACTGGCCGCAGAGGCGCCTGCCGGGGCTGGCTGGCCACGTCCCACACTAATGGTCGGGAGGCATGTTTGCCTGATAAGATAAAAGGCGACGTCTGAAAGTCCCTGTGCGGAGAGCATGCGGTGGCGCCGTGGGGGAGCAGGCGTGAGACCTGATGGCTGACGGAGAACAGAAGAGAATACCTTTACAGTCAATGCACTGGAGGCAGCGTTTCGAACATGTCAGACAGCTAACCAGGCTATGCTAATTGCTGGTAGACATGAAAGGCCCAATGTAGGTCAGTGTTTAAGGCGAACCCAAGATAATACAATTCTCCGTGGAGCGCTGTATTCCTCATAAAATGGGTTTCAGTCCTGTCAGTTTGACCCAAAACTACATTTCTGACTATTTCAGATTATATTCTCGTTATCAACTTATCAACTTCTGGTTACCATATATACAGCATTCATCTAGAAAGTTCTAGAAAGATCCTGAAAGTTCTAGCTGATTGTTGCAATGGTGATGACATTTGTATGTGTACGTATTACTTAGGTGCACTGACAGTCCCTGGGTTAAGAACATTTGACTTACAGACAACTCATACTTATGAATGGATTGTCTCAAAGCACATTACAATAAAAATTCAGGTTAAATACAATGGTTCGTAATAATGAACATATTCACTACTTTGTGACGCTTCTGAAAACACTGTGTGAAAACAACAGTTTGTCAGTACCATATGTAGCTATTTTTATTATTACTGTATAATTACTATTAATATGAACTTTATTTAGATTTTTCTGACTTACCTACAAATTCAACTAAAAGGCAGACTTTGGGATGGGATCCTGTGCGTAACCTGGGGACTGTTCATACAGAGAGAATCCTACGACCCACTCTTCACTAATTAACAATCAGCAAAATGGCGTCAGGTTCTGTCAGTTTGAACCAAGATTTGCTGATAGGTCTGATCGTATTTCACATTACACCCATTTCACTGTTATTATTAAGTACTGTCAATGTCAGCTTCTGGTTACCATACAGACAATATTCTTCTGGAAAGTTCCAGAAAGTTCTATGTAGTGATGGTATTGATAGTCGTACAAGCACGTATTTCATATGTATATTGAGATAATACAGCACTGCAGAGTTAACCCTACTACTCACTTATCTGTAAGTAATAATCAGCAAAATGGGATTTGGTTCTGTCAATTTGATCTGAGACTAAATGTCAACTCTGACTGTATGTCAGGTTATACCTATATTTTATTTTTGTTATTAGGTACTGTCAATGTCAGCTTCTAGTTTCCGCATAGATAGAATTCTTCTGGAAAGTTCCAGAAAGCTCCAGAAGTTCTTTGTTGTGATGGTGATGATATTCTTATGCGTGTGTACTACATGTGCATATTTTAGTGCATTTGGCAGGGAAGGGGTATCACATACAGTTCTGATGAATTTACAAAGCAGAGATGCAGAAGCGTAGTCACCTTTTGACAGCCTCCAGCTGATCTGGGGTGTAGGATTTGCCAGAGTCTGTGGCCTTCTCCTCGGGGGCCGTGCCGCTGTCTGGCCTGGTTCTCCGGTGTCGTGGCCCTGGGCCATCGCTGCCTCCTGGTGTACTCTCTGTCCCGCATGGCTGCCCATTCTTTGTGATGGACTCCAACAGAACTGGAAAACAGCACGGTTCGGAGGGCGTGTTAAGTGTGAAAAAGGCTCTTTGTACAAAGGTGGCTATATTAAACAGCGGGACTGGCATTTGTTTGATTCATCTGTGGTCTAGGTATATTAGGTATATTAAAAACTAGGCTTGAAAAACAAAGACTGTTTGCATTTTTGGTAGAGTGCAGTGAAGTGCACAGGGTATAAAAACATTACACCACCCATGTCCAAAAAGAGAGGCTCGTGAAAAAGAAACCGTAGGATTTGTCCCAAAAGCAGATTTACTCTCTGCCGCATTGTTAGTTTTAGAAAGGCATGCAGAAGTAAATACATGGGGTTGGTTTTCTGCACATATTTCAGCCAAGGATGTGGTAGCGGTGTTATTTTTGGCTGGAATTACACATGGAGTGTTCTATTTAAACGTGCACAAAGAAATATTATCTGTGGGAGAAATACCGCACATCTTATTAAAGCTCACCAACAGGCCACTATGACAAATTCAGGAAAAGCTTTATTTTCACATCAACCGCGCTAGATATATCGTAGGTCTTAGATACGGCAACAGGAGCTTGAAAGGATACGGAATTATCACAACCAATCAGGAAACTCCAGAAGACAAATAAATATGTCCGTTAAACAAAGTACAAAAGAGCTTTGATAGACACGCATATCCGTAAGGGCTGTGTGTACAGCATGGCTATTTATGCAAGACACTATTATTAGCACAGAAGGAAAACATGCCGTCTGTTTAAGGGACACAGATAACATGACGGATGGCAACAGTTAAGTGAGGTGAAAAGACACTTGGATAAAAGAACCTCCACAAGTTGAAGGGGATTACAGGGGAATTGCAGCATCACTCCACGCAAAAGCGGGCGATGCAAAACCACACCACAGAAGACGACGGGAGAAAGAATGCACCGGAAAAGCCACATGTGCCTGTCAGTCTCAAGTAATCAACAAATCTGTACGTTAAAAGCAAAACTCGATTTATTCTCTAGTTTTAAAGCCCTCAATTTCAAAGGTAAGGCCAAAAATAATGACTAATAATATGCTGTTGAAAAGGTGATGAATCCATGAAATATTCTGCATACTGGTTCTGACTATTCAGATTTGCTTAGCAGACTAAGGTAATAAAACTTATATTAATATATTTCACTGCATAACATCACTGTATGTGACAAAAAAAATATCTTGAATCTTGGGGAAAAAAATTGATAAAGATGAAACCTCAAAAAGTTCTGTGAAATGATTGCACTACTCAGTTAAGTAAGATAATGGGTTGCTTAACAGACAATGATGTAGCAGAGTGTTTGATATTGTGGTGGAGAGGACACAACTTAATAATTTAAATACAAAGGTCTATTTATTGGAGGGAGAAATGAAGCCACACTACAACCCCCCCCCCCCAGGTTCCTATGCGCCCCTATTAACATATAGGACACTAACCAGAAAGCACCAACACTAACACCCTGTGCCACATCCCAGTTCTTGTAAGGGTTTTTAATGCATATTCTACCCCAGTGTTGCCCAATGTGAACCCAAAGTCAACACACGTTTTTCCTCCGTCTCAGCTCCCAGTCAGATAGTCCTCATTTTGGCTCCTGGAAAATATGGACTGTATGTGGGTCCTCGAGGACCGGACTGGGAACCACTGCTCTACTCAAGGGCCAAAGACATGCAGTTCAAGGGAACCGATACCTACAAACTGCTCTTGTGTGTATGTGTGTGTGTATGTATGTGTGTGTGTGTGTGTGTGTGTGTGTGTGTGTGTGTGTGAGAAAGAGAAAGATTCTCATTCTCTCTCTGGTACTGCTCTTCATTTTTTGGGTTAGGCCTCCACCATTACAACAGAACAGAAAAGTAATGAAGTATATAAAAGAAAACGTTAAACCAGAATTTAAAAATCAACTAATTAGATTGTAATGATTGAATAATAATAATAATAACAATAATAATCTTTATTTATGTAGCACTTTTCATGCAGCTCAAAGTGCTTCACATGAGATTAAATGGTTTTACCTCATAACCATAACAAAGGCTTCATATGGATTTAACCAATGACGGTAACTATTATTTAATCATCATCATCAACAGCACCCCCAGTAACACCACCCTCCGCGCCAAGACAGCTGCCTACCTAGCAACTTTTTAAGGTGAAACACTGAAAACAGATGCTGTTCATCCCGTATTCCTAAAAAAAAAAAACTTCATGCACTGTAGTGACCTCAACAGAAAGAAACCAAACAATGTGCATGGCGTCTAATGATTGCCAAGGAAAAAGCTGCATGCCACATAAAATGAACGCAGAATGACTGAACTGACGAAACGTCTAAGAGGAAGTCAACACTAAGTTCATAACAGCGTTGACAAGTACAAAATGACATGTACTTAATTTATATTTGAGCTACATTCCTCTCATCTGAAAGGGGGTTTGTGAACCTAACTCACAATTAAAGCAATTCTTAATATCTGGAGGTCTGGTGTTACGGCCCAGAATCTTACACAGCATTAAACCATGACTCTGCGGCCAGGCTTGACAGCTGTAGCAAAAAGGCCTTGTCGTCTTACCCTTCGCATCGTCAGTCGGAAACAGCCTTTGTGCCTTTTCTAAAAACCTCACGGCTTTGTCCGCTTGCTTGTTTTTGAGCGCCGCGACAGCAATCTCAACACAGCGCTTCGCCTCGTCTCTGTTTACCTCCATCGCGGACCTGCTGAGTGATTACGTCGCGCCGTGGCGCTCGTAGATGACATCACGCAACGCCCATCCATTACGTATAGCCGCATGCTGGACGCAGGTGTCGGGCGCCCCCTAGCCGCCACTAAATTCCTATAAGTAAGCAACTGAGGATGGATACCTGACGGAGATAGAATGTGTGAATTCAGCGGTTGACTCCGGCGTGCAAGACAATACATGGGCCACAAAATATAATGTGATACCTAAGTTCGATATGTTAGGAGTGTACGTGTTAGGTGACTATAAGTGTAAAGCTAGATAATAAACGCCGCGTCGGAAGATGGCATATAGCGTATACACTCTTGCACCTTTGATTTGTATCCAACTATTTCAATATCAAATTCAGACTTAGGAGGCATTTTTTCCAGTAAGGTATGCCTTGAAAAACGAAATTTCGCTTGATTGTCTTCCTTGCAGTCTAAACTGAAAACACTAAAAGTGAAAGTCATCGATACCTTCAATATATCTTCCTTCTTGATTGTCCAGCTACTTCATCTATAAAGAATCACTAAAAATACAATATTCTGAACAAGATGTATACGTCAGTACTTTTGTCCTTCGTTGATGCCAAGTGTTCCTTTATTATTGACGATTATTCAGAGAGTGAGAAGTTATCACCTCAGCGTCAGCACCATCAACACTAAAGTGAAGATTATATAATCGTTCCTCAAGAGATCTTTTGAAAATAGGTCTGTATTCCAACCACCACAAGGCCCTTAACCCCAATTGCTCCACAGACTGACTGACCCTAATATCTCAATTGTATGTCACTGTTGATAAATGCGTATGTTAAATAAATAAATATAACGTGTATAATGTGGTAGTAACAGCATTTTTTGCTCATCACTGACTTACGGCATGACAATTTCAGAATACTAATTATGGTTCTACAGATCTACAGCAATCAAAATTTTTACTACAGAGTGCAACTGACGCACAGTAATGTAGAATATTATATGTTCATTACGAATAATAAACGCTAGATGGCTTTGCAGTTTGAAATGATTACCGATCAGTGTGCGTGTTTCGACTTAGAACATTAATTCGTGATGTAAATTTATACATAGGACCACCGTAAACCATATTTATTTGTGCTTTAAATCGCAGACATTTGGCCATTTTAAACGTGCATCTGAAAAGTTAAGCGGTAATAAGTTTTAAAAGAGCTTTGGCTATAATACGTCATCCACCGATCAATTCATCTGTCGTCCAACCGATTATCCTGGTCAGGGTCGCGAAGTTTATGGCAATATAAATATCTTTTCTCTTAAGTAAATATTTTGCAGGACAAAAATAGGCTAATCAGTCATAAACTAATGTCAGTGTGGTAGTTAAATTATAAATCAACCTCTCTGATAACTCTAGTTGAGCCACTTAGAATAAAACTCTGGGCCTCTCAGTTGGTGAGTAAAATAATCTCTTTTATTCGAGCAATCCAGCAAAGCGCTCCCCTCACATTCTGGCACTCGGTACCAAGTCACCTCAAGCAGTTGATAAACCATAACTCCCAATTCCGAATAAGGACTTCTAAGTCCTGATTGTTCACAAAACACCAACAATCCAAGCTCAAAAGTATAACAAACACAATTCCACTTCTCTATTGGTTCACCTTGGTAGGTAAAATCCACCACTTTTTGCTCAGTTTACCGGAATCGGTCTTGCTTCTAGACTCTACTTGAGATATGTATATGATATTGATTATATGACATTGAATCACTGTAAATATTTGGTTGTCCTTTGATTAATGATTAACGCATTGACGTATTGTCATTGAATTACTGCAAATACATGGTTATCATTATTAGCATGATTAACGTAACAATTACCCCCCTTACTCTGCTGTCTGTCTCTCCAAGGTCTGATCTCTCTTCAGGGTCTGTGCGGAACTAACCACAGGCAGCTATCATGAGACAAGGACACACAGTATTCAAAACAATCCCTTCTTGCCTAAGGCCTAAGACATAACAGCCCCAATATGCCTCCCCTCCCGGGCCTACCAATGTCCAATTTTCGTTCCACATCAGAAGTTTAGGAAGTTATTTTTCACTATTAGAGAAGTGATACTTTGGAACAAGAATCAACGAAGGGCCTATATAGTTATTACATGGCAATAAATCACAGTAAATAAGTAGTATGTGTTAATTGGGCATTTTAAATAACAATAAAAAAACACTAAAATTATTATTAGAATCACAAAACGTAAAAATCCAATGGAAAATTAAACAGCAGAAGTCTTCTAGGACTTTTCCACCAGATGGCACCACAGGTCAAATCTCGTGTATAATGAATGCCGTGTTCGTGTACTAAAGGGAAAAACCCAGTCGCATTGCAATTTTAGATAACCGACTAAGTAGCCTACTCTTCTTAAGATACCACATACCAAATATAAACTAATGCGTGATAGGGAATACACTCAGGAACTGTGTGCAATTCAGACACACCAATTGCCTAACCGCATGTCTCTAGTCTGCAGGAGGAAACACGGTGAAAGGAAGCGGGATTCACACACGCAAAGGTGGGATTTGAGCTCCCAACCCTGAATGCAATAATGCTGCTTACTGTCTTCTTACAATAAATGTTACACTAAATGTAACTGCAATAAAAATAAATGTGGCAGGGATATAAGTTGAGGAGCTCATTGACTATCGGTTTAGCCGATGTTGACCTGTTTTGTTATTTTAGTTACGTTGATGAACAACTAAATCAGTACCAAATTAGAATGATTAGCGTAGCTATGACATGAATACACGGGCAATTTCCTAGGAAAAAACAGACAGAAATGCGACAGGCACGTAAAAACGTTGAGGCCTAAAGTTTCATGACATATTGATGATACCAGTTAAGTAAATAAGCTCATGGGATTCCGTAATGGCATGTAGCATAATAGCCTACTTCTGGTACGGTGCAGTGTGAACTCTGGAATCACTCTAAATACTTTCAATGTAATTGCTTAAGATAACTGGTCATAAACATAAACTAATTATTGTCAAATGCCAGTCATGTTACAGTACGAAATACAAGAATGAAAATCTTTGACCATCAAAGCAATGTTTACCATGGCTTAAGAGTCGAACTGGCCTTTCTCTTTACCGCTCCTCAAAACTGCCTGTTTAATTAACAGGATCATCTAGAATACCCATATCAACATCTAATATGTTTACCTTGAACAATGACATCATCTATATTAGATCTCAGGAAGACAGCCTAATCACAAAGGTCTAAAAGCTAGCTCTTGATTACAATCACAGCAGGCAGTATTTGGCTTGTTAGTGGGTTTCTGAATTTCATAATTCATACTAAAACAACAATCGATATACATCGCTCATAATCTATAAAGAAAAAAACGGTTGAGAAGCCACTCAGCAAAACTGGGGGTTATTATTCATAACATGTTCATAAGACGTTTTGTTTAAAAATATGGTGTGAAATTCTACACCATCCTATTAAATTTCCCAAGCACTTGGGAATATAATCTGTATTAGTTGTAGTACTTCATAGGTGGTGAATTGTCTCATGGTTTTTCGACTAAAGGATTAGCCTATATAAGATCATGTTATGAATTCTGAGACAGAAAATACCACTGGCACGTTTTCTGTTACTCCAGTATGATACCTTGTTTTTTGCGACATGTAGGACTACAATTAAAGCGAAAGAGCTTTTGTCACGTAAACATAATACTTTCACGACTAAATCCCAACGAGCGTTTTAATACTTCACATTCAGAATCACACCCCGTTTTGGGAAGAAACACCATGACCTAAATCAGCAGGGTTACTCCCGCACGTTGACACGTAGTGAATTAAAATGATTCACGCTGGAAATGACTGCCCGCGTTTCAACATTCATGAAATAAATGTGGATCTATATGGTAGTAGTTGGCTATTGCTGAAAGCAAAATTTGGCTAGAAATGAATCAGTGCTAAAATGTGAACAGCAGATATAAGCGGACCAATGAGCATCTGGGAGTCAGGTGGCATCAAGCTCCGTTCAGCCAATTGCAGCCCTTATAACCTCCTCACCAAAACGACATCAGAGCTTTAGGTACGACGGCATCGCCGCTGCTCGCTGACAGCCCTGCGCCTTCCCATAGTAACAGTTATTCTCTTGTTATTCCGACTATTATAATTTCTGATACATTTAGCCTTTTTTTCCTCAAGTGTGTGCAGACACTCGGAGGACCCGCATTTCTCCCATCAGGTAAGTTTCTCTGGATAAAAATATAGTGTTACGTTTCTACATTGCTGTATTTGATGTATTGATGCATTTGACCGGTTTTCAAGCAATAAAATACAAAAGGAGTATAATTGGGTGGAAAAAAGCCCCTGAGGATGCTTTAGGAAGTCAAATGCGGATGTAAGGCTTTCGCTTTATTTGTGCAGGTACGTGCATTTTCTCGCAAATAACAAAATGTCTGCTGTCACTCCGGCGAAGGTTTCACAGTGGAAATAAAATGCGTGAGACGCGCAGCCAGGGAGCCGCAGCTGCAGAAGCACCGCTCGTCGAGGACGTTTTCGACGACACTTACCGGGAAAAAGACGGGCCAAAGCCACCGATGCAGATCGTATGGAGAAACGTCATCTTGATGACTTTATTGCATTTTGGAGCTTTGTACGGCTTGTACTTGCTCCCATCCACTTCAGTTTTGACCTTGGCGTGGTGTAAGTATAACCTTTTCTGCACTTTAATTTCCCTTATAAATCGACATCATGTCACCCCCTTATCCAAAATGGCTATTTGGATGACTGGTGTGGCGTAGTTAATTTTGCATAGTGGATGGGTATGGGAAAACGTGCCCGGTGACTTGCACAGCTTGTTATATGCTGCGTATGAGCAGCTTGACTGACTGAACCTGGCCGTGATAATGAATCATGGATCGTAATTTCAGCCAATGTCATCTACTAAAGTGATGATTTCATACATTGAATTATGAAATGAATATGCATCACTTCCCGCTTGGCTCGTGCGATTTATTAATCTGTTATTCATGTCAATTAGTGAATCTGAGTTCTGCATGGCTATATACAATACGAATAAAATAGTTTTTTTAAGCCGCTGTAATAAGACCGATTTAAATTGGTCATGTGTGTTACACATATAATGCATCGTAGTATGACAATTCTCCGTGTTGCTATATTTATGAAAATGATTTAAAAATTAGCCACTGAGTAACTGTTTTTCCCCAATGCTGAAACTGCATAACACTCTGTATGGAGAACAATGCACTATTGGATATGCAATAAACATCGCATTGTCTTGCTCGGGTCAGTCGGCAACTGTGTCCGTCTAACAGTGTTTTTGAGCCTGGTTTGTTTTCCCGAATTTGCACATTTTTGGAAGTCGTCACCAGCCGCGGAGGCATCCAACCGGTTTTTTTTTCTTTTTTGGGGGGTGGGAACGGAACGATCTGTAGTGAAAGAAGATACAGACTACGAAATTCGGGAGACAAGCGGGCATGGAGCGCGCTGAGGTGCCCCGCACTGGTCACGTTACCTCGTTTTCCCTCCCACCCGCAGCCATTCTGTGCTTCTTGATAAGTGCACTGGGGGTGACAGCCGGTGCCCACCGGCTCTGGAGCCACAGGTCCTACAAGGCATCGTTACCCCTCCGGATCTTTCTAGCCATTGCCAACTCCATGGCCTTTCAGGTAAATCCCGCATCGTCTCTGTCTGTACAGCCGGAGCCCCGCCCTCACCCACTACCCATTCCCAGTGTTTTTAGTTCATTTCCTCAATTAGATAGCCACAGTCATCCTTTATATTGATAGCGGAAATTTAAGTCCGATAAGCTATTTGCCTTTGCATATTTGCCGTTTAACTGGCGCTGAGCAGGATGAGTTATCAGTTTATTGGGTATTTCCACTTAAAGTATCATTTAAGAGGGGAAGATAATGGTGTTTTTGCTGCTGCACCCAAAGGCGCAACTTTGGTTTGAGTGTGGTGGCGGGGGGGGGTTGAGGTCTCCACCCATTTAGGGGAGAAACATGATTATTGGGGGGGTTGTATTGGCTGGCTGGTGTGTTGGCTCCGCTGTCTGACTGCGATCCTCTGACGCTGGGCTGTCCACGCAGAATGATATATACGAGTGGGCTAGGGACCACAGAGTTCACCACAAGTACTCGGAGACGGACGCTGACCCCCACAACGCCGTCCGAGGCTTCTTCTTCGCTCACATCGGGTGGCTGCTGGTACGCAAACACCCAGACGTCATCGAGAAGGGTCAGAGATTGGAGCTGAGCGACCTCAAGCAGGACCAGGTCGTCATGTTTCAGAGAAAGTGAGCGTCTCTCCCTCCCCTCCCCTCCCCTCCCCCCCGATCAATGCTCGGTCACCTTTCTTCCTCTCTATAGAGATGGAAGTGACTGGGCCAGTGTTGTTGCATCTTAACTCCATGGTTTGCAGGTTCGAATTCCGCCCTGTGTGTTCGGAGCTTGCGTGCTCTCTCCCAGTTTCCACCTGCAGTCCTAATACACGCTGACATAGAAAAAGGTACCAGTTTGTACCTTTGCTTGTCACTGGGGCTGTACCCTCAAGGGTCTGCCAATTGTACCCTTAGCTGTAGGTACATGTACCTTTTAGTTTAATATACAGTACAGAAATGGACTCTGAGGGAAAAATATTTTTGTACCATTGGGGGTACATTCATATTGTTTGTACCTTGGAGATGTCCCTCAGAGTCCATTTCTGTACCTTAAAAAGTACATTTACTTACAGGCTGGGTACAATTGGCAGACTCTTGAGGGTACAGCCCCAGTGACAAGCAAAGGTACAAACTGGCACCCTTTTTTTGTCAGTGCATGCATTTAGGTTCATTGGTTGTCTCTAAATTGCTCATAGTCTGTCTGTGCACTCTGTGACAGACTGGCATCTTGCCTCTGGTGTTCCCCTGCTTTTTGCTCAATACTGGCTTGGATAGTTTTCAGTTGACCCTGAATTACATAACTGGTTGGCAGATGGAGGTATATTTCATGCAATGGCACACTTCTGTACCACTGATTTTTCTTGTCCATTGAGTTTTTTTCTCTATTTGTTACTAAACCATAAGTGACAGATTTTGGATTGAGTGAAACAGTCCCAGTGAATGTGAAATATTGCATAGGTTGCAATTTTACTCATAAAGGGTCAACAATATACTGTCAGGAAAAAAAAGCATACAACTCTGGTACAGATTCGTTCCTCAGGGTACAAACAACATTAATGTACCCCCAGTGGTACAAAAATGCCCCTTTTACTCCATTTCTGTACCTTAAATTAGACTAAAAGGTGCATTTACCTACAGCTATGGTACAGTTGGCAGACCCTTGAGGGTACAGCCCCAGTGACAAATAATTGTCCCCTCAAATGAGTACTTTAGTCTGACAGTGTACAATCTGTTTATTTTGTCCAAAAACTCCCATCCAAGGCCGTAGCTTAATTGTGAAACGGTAGATGCCAGACACCCCCATGGATCATGCTGTTCTGTTGGCAGGCACTACAAGCCCTCCATCCTGCTGATGTGCTTCATCTTTCCCACGGTGGTGCCCTGGTACCTGTGGGGGGAGTCCCTGTGGCTGGCCTACTTCGTTCCAGGGCTGCTCCGCTACGCGCTGGTGCTGAATGCCACCTGGCTGGTGAACAGTGCTGCGCACATGTGGGGCAACCGGCCGTACGACCAGCACATCAACCCCAGGGAGAACAAGTTCGTCGCTTTCAGTGCCATCGGTAAGGAGGAGTCCACCGGCATGCCGGCTGCTGGCCTCCAACCTCCTTACGTTGGCCGCCGTCAAGGCTTTTAGAGTGGAAATTCCAGGAGGAAAATAGGAGAAAAAAAAATATATATATATATCTATAAGGCTGCTGAGTAATACCGATAGTGCATGTGTACACATCTGCAGAAATGTCATTGTCTTAGCAGCTGTCTGAGTCCATATACCAGCTTGTTGTAGATTTCCAGGAATTTCAGGCAGCTGAAGGACACTCAGGAAATATAAGCTTAATGTAGCACCGTGCTGTTTCAACATCAGCATGGTAATATACGTAGCACATATGACATTTTGAGTTAAAAGATCTCAGTTAATATATAGTTTCCCTTTTAACTGGATAAACAACTTTTACTTTTTTTTTTTGTTTTTTTTAAATCACTAGTTCTCTATTTTAGATGAAGATCAAGCACTCTGATTGGTCATGCTTTAAAAAAAAAAAATGTCAATAAATCATAAAACTGCAAACTACTACGTCAAACCATAAACTCAGTCCTAGGTATAAAGCAAACATATATCTGGTACAGGGTGGTAGAAAACCTGGAGCCTAAAACTTACCTTTGTGATGATTTATTAATCTGTGTCGGAGGCTTATGGATCTGTACTCAGTGTAGAAGGTTGTGGTTTCACATCCCTTGGCCAAGAGAGTAAATGTATCACCACCCAGCCCTTGAACAATGGCCTTAACCTCTGATTCACACTCGCATGTTGCTTTGTCCGTGGAAAAATCTGAAATAAGTGACATGTGATGAACTGTAATTAGACTGCAAACCGGTTTAAATTCAAAGTAGGTTAGTGTCAAACAGCAACAAAGTGCATTTATTTGTACGTCCTTTTGCCCAAAGTGACGTACAAGTGTGGATCAGAGAGCAGGACCAGACAGTCCTGGGAGCAGTAGGGTTAGGAATATTGCTCAAGGGCCCAACGGTGACATCATTCTGCCAACCACAAGATTTAAACAATTGTTGATGTATATAGATATATACAGATTTAATGTCTGTGAAAAAATTGATTCCAGTTAGAATTCTGTGTGTGTAGATTGCCTACATGGGCAACTGATAGTGTTGTGACCCTTTTTGAGGTCTATAGGAAAAAGGGGCCAGACATAAAAGATATGAGTAAAGGGAACCTAAATGTCCTGTCCAGGAAGAACAATACAGAGCCAAGTGATAATTAAGTGGGATATTATTTTTTATTGGGAGAAAGGAGAAAGAGAAGTAGAACAATATAAACAAAGAAAGGAATATACCTAAAAAGGAAAACGGCACACTTACCTACCTGACAACCAGAACAAAATAAACGCTCAATCCAAATAAAAGTATTCCGCACATAACTAGCTACTCTGATAAACACCTGGGAAAAAAAACAGTATAACTCTTCCCCCAAACATCTAAATAACACAAGGACCGCAATCCGCACTATATTATTAATCAAAAAGCAATTTTTAATTACAAGCAAGCAAACGACAAGAGCGTGAGGATGAGAAGTCCTCCTTGTGTGGGCTATTTAAGGCCACAGAAGGCGAGGTGATTAATTCCAGCTGTAGCCAATCAGCAAAATTAGCCAACAACTGAAGCAACAACCCATCTTAAGCAAGAAAAATAGAAACAGTTGCAAGATACATTAGGCATCAGTGTGGAGGGTTTACTTTTAACAGACTTGACGCAGTATATTAATAAGCACTGGTGGTGGGAGCATCTTCTCATGGCAATTGGTAGACTGAAAGGCTAAATTGGCCAATCAGATGATACATCTTTATCAATGTAACTCCTGTTGCTAGGAGGCGTTTCATCACTGCTTTAAAACAAACTTGGATGACTGAAGTGCATGTTTATTTTCTGAAGATTCTGCTCCTTTCCCAATTGCACTGAGACCTCTGCATGATGTAATACTTTAGTTTATTTGAAATAAATTCATTTATGGTTGGAAGGCGGCTTGAAGGGTTTTATCTTTAGATGAATACATTGAGAGAGAGACTGCAGTATTTTCGTTATCTTGTTTAAAATGAGGCAGTGGGAGCTGTTATCTGAAAGGCAATATTTGAACTGATGTTAAAAGTAACCTGGGCAGGGGGGGGGGATCAATCAATGTTTGATCGACGTGTAAACTGTTGTTTGCTTTTGGTTTCAGGGGAGGGGTTTCACAACTATCACCACACCTTTCCATACGACTACGCCACGAGCGAATTTGGCTGCAGGCTCAACCTGACCACCTGCTTCATTGACATGATGTGCCGCTTGGGTCTGGCCACGGACTGCAAGAAGGTGTCCCGGGAGCAGGTCTTGGCTCGAAAACAGCGCACCGGGGACGGCAGCCACAGAAGTGGTTAGGGGCCCGTAGAAGATGGGAAGGGTGGGGGCCTGAACCCCTAAACAAACGAAACAAAAGGCTTTTACAGTATAGGTTTGGGGGTGCTTTTCTGTTGTCTAGCTATAATTATGGCTTCCCGCCATTTCCAGAGTTCTTAAGATTAATAATAGCTTTAAGCATACCTGGGCCTCTCTGTAATTCAGTTTAATTTCTCCATAACTGCAGCAGAATATCCAGTCTGTGGCGATGGTGAGGACGGCCCATTTTTCGGCCAGGGTCACTAATGCTGCGCGAAAAGACCCACGTGTGGACGAACCGGACTGGGTGCCGCAGACGATTCAAATCGCGTTAATGTTACCGGACATCGCATGGCCAACAGACCAAACTTCTCGAGCTGTGGTTAAGCAGTAATGGAGAAATTAAATTCCATACTCAAGCAGAAATATTTATTATTATTGCATCACACCTTAGATTTTTTAGAAACTTGAAATGAAACAGGCAAGTTGTCATGTTGGCTTTGTGTTTGTTTTTTTTTTTTTTCTTCCCCGAAATGTGGGTCTCATTCAGCCAAACACCAAGGAGATTTAATTTATTGCCCTCCTTGTTGAGGTATGGCTCTTGATCCTAATGTTTAATAGGATTTTTAAAATTCTACACTGGCAAGCACACTGCTGGGAGGTAAATGAAACTCGGAGAAGTCAGATCTGGATTTACACTTTGTACTCATTGTAAGAGCAGCTGCTGCCAGTGTCGTTTTAACATTTCTGCAGTTTACGATGAAACAGGATAAGCTGTTGATTACCAGTATTTTAAAGCCTTGTTAGGTTTTGGAGCACCGATTGACTAACAGTGATTTCTAACATAGATGATGTCTAAAGTAAATGGTTGTGGGTGGTAGGTCAGACGAGGTTAGCGTGGAGGTGCTGTGTCCTGGACAGTGAATGCAGTACTTCCGCATAGCTTGTTATGCACGTGGCAACTCGCGCCAATAGTAGATGCTGTAATGTTTGGGGATTTATGATGGTTCTGAGGGAAGAAAGCCATCAGAATTTTTTTGGTATTAATGTTTGTAAAACAGAATCATGGGAGAATCAGAAAATATTTTTTTCCATTTCGTGCTCTTCAAATTACTTCATTTTGCACAAAAAGACGAAAGATTGCGTCAGTTGTTGCGTATGTTGTTCCGACTTGGGATTCTCGCTGATCTGGCATGCGGGGCAGCCAACCTGCCTCATGCATCACTGGGCCGTTAAGAAACACACACACGTGCTGCTATATGAGAAACGGACACGTTAAAAGGAAATCAACACATTCCAGAGGAGGACAGGAAGTGAAAACAACTGATTACCACGGTTTGCCTAGAGGTGGAAGTTCAAAGGATCCGATCCAAAAAGTGAAAAATGATCATCGTGATCCTGTATTGGAGAAGCAGTTATAGATAGATGGATGGATAAATAGATGTAAAAATTCCAGAGTATTAACATACTGTCATAATATCACTGAACATACCTATTTAGCTGGTTAGAATTTTTTGGGCCATTTTGCTTGCTAAACAAAGCCCTCCAGCTTCTCAACATTTTTCATTTCAAAAGGGCCCATTGGTGTAAGAACAGCCCAATCAAATTGGATCCCTCTAGCTTATTGCTGCGGTTCTGCAAGCTTCATTCTTGCCATATTGACTTAAAGGGTTTTATGAAGATAATCCATACCTAGATTACTTTGCTCCTTAGCATTCAGGCCCTAATGATTGTTAATTTGTGAAAGCTATTTAGCTTACAGGTCTTTGTGCTCTTTGTTAGTTGTCTACAGTATGGGGTGTTTTCGTATGTTTGAGATGATAAATATTAGGACCCTTTTTGGTCGCCTGGCAAGGTTGCCTGTGAAAATGTTCAGTACTTGGCAGACAGGTTGCGTTCCCACTTGCGAAAAAACACCCAGTTTTTTTTTTTTTTTTGGGGGGACGACGACAAAGTAACTTCATAGTCCCGTTACCAAGAGGAGGATTGGAGCTATTTGTACAACAAACAGGAGAGCGTAACAATTCCATTCAATTCTCTCTATCCTGCAGACGACTCCATTCCAGTTGAGCCTAATGCCTTATGACTTTAATCCATTCCTGGTTCTTGTGGAGTCCAGAGAAAAAAAACAAAAAAATATACAGAAATGGCCCAAATTACTCAGTGGGAAACAACAGCGCTTTCGTTTGTTTTGTTTTTGTTTTGTTTTTTGTGAAATTTCCAAAAGGAGTGCCAATTTTTGTAATCTTCGGGAACGTGTTGGGGGAAGGGTGGTGGGGTGGGGGGGGTCTGGCAATTCTGCTCAAAACTTTTAATCACAAAAGGTGCTTTATCGGAAAGGCAAAGTCTTAGCTGCAAGCAAGTGCCCCCTCCAGCACTTAATGTACTCTGCGGTCACATAACCCCCTTTCACATCATGCTTGGCCACCCGAAGGAAACATCCAAATACGGGGGGGGGGGGGTCGATGAGGGCGGAGTCTATTTATAATTTCTAGCATGTCGAAATATGTGTACTGTAGTTCTGGGCAAGATTCAAAAGTATTTTGAACTAAACAATAAACTTGTTATTAAATGAACTCTCGTTGCCCTACAGTTTGCAGTGCAATTCTTTTTTTTTTCCAGTGTTCTCAAATTCTGAATGCCTTAAGAAAAAAACTGTTTGGCACATTTTGCAAGGAATATTGTATGCACTGTAATTGTAGCATTTTTTACTAGGTGAGAAAGACACTGTCTTTGTCTGTGTGTTGCAATGACACAGTATTTCTTTTTTAATCAAATAAAAGATAAATAGCCCCCTTTTTGTCTACTCTTTTTAAAGTGGCAGTAGCAGAAAAATTTAGACCGTAATTATCTTAATGTACATCATGTGGTCTGGTGCCAGTTCTGACATACTCTGTATAGGTAAGATGGTCTGACATTTCACATAGTCTAGTAATCAACCCATTTGTCCCATGAAAAAAACTGCTCGTTTCACTGCTGGGACATTGCAGAAACTAAAGTGTTTAAATACTGTGTGCACTGTGAAACAAGCATGTCTTTAACCCTATCAAAACAGACCTGAACCCACATGTATTTTATTACTATTAAACTTTTAAACAAACTTTTCCAAAAACCATGTGATCTGGAGGACTTTAAAGCCATCGGTAGGCTATCAATGGGGAAAACAAATTAATTTAAGTTGGACGTAAGCTGCAAATAAATTGGTTAAGCAATGAAAATCTAAATGTAGTGTCTCCTAAAAATGCCAGTAATGAAATCCATCCATTTTCTGTAACCTGTCCTGTTCAGGATCACGGGGGGCCCAGAGCCTATGCTGGTAATGAAATTAAAATGGAAAGTGTCAGCCCATAAAATTTTGGATTTTATTCTTGTGTTACATGCAAAATTAATTAGCTGTGTTGTACTAATATTGCTCATCAAGACCACATGGATTTTTAATATGTTATAGAGCATAAAATGTGCATTAAATTACTGTGTTAATAAAAGTATTGATAAACAGTTCTCATGTTGAATAAAAGGGTTCTATACAGTACATTGTTAAAGCTTTATATACCACATACATATGATAATGAACACTTACTGTACTGATCTGAAACATGTCTATTGAACCAAGTAGGTATGTGGTAAATATTTAATCATTTAAACATCAAAGAAAGACTTCTGCACCAAAATGGGTTGAATACCTATTGTGCCACGGTGACCTATCACGGTCTGCCAGCTCACCATTCATGCTCACGACAGCCTATGCAATGGTAGACGAGAGATAGGGCTAAAATCAGTCCTCCAAGGCTATGTGGAAATTGGATATGAGGCTAACAGCTTCTCACCGACACTCCTTCTGTCATCACAGCTGGTCAGTATTGGCCGTTAACTAGTCCAAACCAAAAGAAAGCCAGCGACAAGCCTTCTGGGTAAGTTCAGGCTGCAAAGTGGGACACAAGACTTGGATCAGTCCTGGCTCAGGACAGAAACCATTAAAAACACAATTTGGAAAGCAGGCATAAGAGAGTTAAAGTAAGGTCAGTACAGCAAACCTGATGTTTAATGGCTTATGTGATCATCAGGCAGTTAAAATTGGTGGACTATCTTAACAGCTCAAATACAGCCACCACCAGCTGCAGGTTGGATATCATGCCTGAGAAGATTTAACTATAATGTGTGATGTGTATATTTCTCTTTTGGGAAATAAGGACTACTGCCATAGCTGAAGGGTAAATAATGATCTAATGAAGCTAAGAAACCCCTTGAGGAAATTATGAAAAGGCCGGTTATATTACAGCAGGGGATCTGAAACTGACAGAGGAGATGATTAAACCCACACCGGCATTCAACAACTGTGTCAAAGTTACCAGGCAGCTGAAACCCGACATCATCACTTCTGTCTGTGTCACTGGATGGCTCCCGTGTGATCAAAAAACATTTTTCCATAACAGGAACCCATTCCGAATATTTTTACTCAGAGGAGGATGTGGTTTGATACTCCTGAAGCATTCTCCACATAAGGGGTGGGGACGCGCGGGGGTCAGATTGCCACTGGCCCATTACAGCAAAAAAAGGTGGCATTTCAGGACAGTGCTGGGGGCACCGGAGATGACATTTATAAAGGTTTGGTGGGTGGGATGACCTGCCTAAAATCTCAGCTTACTTCTGTTTTATCACATAAAGCCACCCTCTCATCGCACGGTATGATGACCAGGTCTCAAAGGGCCCGTTTTCTTCCACAGAGACAGGAGGCTTTGTTCCAAAACCATTTCAGTTGTCAGTCCTTGAGCCTGTACGACCGGTACGCCCTTTGCACTGTCACATGGGAGCTGATAATCTGGTACAGTATCCACCTGACAATTTGGGAAGACACAGAATGCTTGCAATACTACTGAAAATACACTAGGTGGCCACTCTGTCAGGTACCCCCTAAGACCCAGTTTTGGCTTCAAAACCCAAAGAACTGGCTCTGATTGGGTGTGTCTTTATCCATTGCATCTCTGTATAAACTCTAGATGCTGTAGTTCATGAAATTCCCATGGGAGGAGCTGCTTCTGGAATGCTAGAACTACCACGTCTGACACTGACAATCGCACCACATTCAAAATCACTTGGATGAGATGTTTCGCTCACCGGTACTGGTGAATCCTCATGGTCTTGTTCTGGACTAGCAATTGTAAGGAAGAGAAACAAGTAAGACAACTATTGGGAGTGCAAAGGGCTGAAAGTTGACGTTAAAACTCCACTATGTCCACGTTGAACCCCACCCTGTGTGTGTGGAGATTGGAAGTTCTCCCTGTGCTGTGCAGAATTCCTCTGGGTGGTTCAGTTTCATCCTGCAATTATGTGGATTGGCATTTCTAAATTGCCCATGGTGTTCCAGCGTGTACTACATGAAGGTGTGCCTCACCCAGGCATCCTGTGCTCCCTGGGACAGACTCCAGACCCTCCTCAACCCCTGTACCAGATCAGAAATCTGAAAATGGATGCATATTTCCGACATATTATTTTAAAAGTAAAATGGCTATGTGCACCACCCAGATAATTTCTTTGAACAATAGATGACTCGTCTCCTCATGCAACTTATAAAAAAGTCCTGGAAAGATTATCTGCTGCCCTTGGTGTAGGAGAGTCTCTTGTACCCGAGCCATGTTGTCACCAATTGCTGTAATTCTGGTCCTTGTTAATCACAATGGCAAATGCAACATGTGATATCAGCGTTTTCATTGTACCTCTCTTTCATTTCAATCCTCTAATGCAGTGTTTCTCAACCCAGTCCTCAGCAAACTCCAGCCAGTCCACGTTTTTGCTTCCTCTCAGCTCCCAGCACCTGTACCAGCTATTCGGTGTTCCTGATTGGCTGAGAGCTGGGAGGGAGCAAAAACGTGGACTGGCTGGGGTTCGCTGAGGACTGGGTTGAGAAACACTGCTCTAATGAAACTATCTGTGAAAGCAGTCACGTGCAAAACTGGCTGATTCTGCACATTTTAAAAGTCATTTTAGTGGAATAAATCTGTATCTTATATATTTTGTTCTTTTACCTAGATTATTGAAAACTATTATTTTTGGTTCAATATAAACCACCAAAATAATGAGGCATGGTATATGAGGAGAATTAGACTCAGTTATGCATAATTATATAAATTGTACACTGAGACGCAATTACATAGTGTGGCCGTCAGAACTGACAGAGGTAATAGTAGTTCTGCTTACTACTTAATCCAGCAGCATGTGATTTCTGCGTCAGGAAACGTGGTGTCTGGTCATGTCTGTGTTGCAAAAACGTCTGTCATGGCTAAGGAGTCATCTTCTTGATTAAGTTACAACGAGCGATAAATTAGCTAAGGCGTTGACTCAGGTTTTAACCATATCATTGGCTGGCGGTTGAAGGTATGTCGTGCGACTAGTCGGTTTTCCTTATTTGTTTTTATTTATTTTGGGGGACGGGGGGGAAAGGCAGTTGCACAAAGTGTTCCTCTCAAAACCAATTGCCACGTATGCTTCTAACACTGCTGCTTGGGTTTACGGAACAGATACCACCCCGAATACATCACATGTGCAAAGGTGTAGAGTCAAGTTTAACTCAATGACTAGACGATATAAAAAAAAAGAAAAGGCAAGTTGCTCCCCCTCTAAGCAGCCGGGCAGCCACAATGGTTACGGACACACCTACCTGCCGAGGAGGTGGCGAGGCTTCCCATTGGCCCTTAAACACTCTTGCACCATCTGCCATCCATCTCCAGCAAAGTTCGTTGATTACGTCACCCGGGTTCTAAAAAAATAAAACCATGAGAGGTAACTCTGGGTCAAAGCTTTTTTTGGCAAGTTCAACAGCTGCAGCGACTTACAACGTCTGATCCGGAAGAGCCAATCAGCAGCGAGCCTGGTGCTTGTCTGATTCACTTACGGCCAATCCCGCGAGGGGTTTCCCTAAATGTGTTGCGTGATTTCAGCCGGGGAAAGTGTGGCCTGAAATACGGAGAAATTTTATTAGAAATTTCACAACATCCTACCAGAAAATTATATGCCCTGCATTACGAGACCCCTACTGTTAATGTACAGTATATTACAGCATTTAAGAAAATGTGGAACAGCATTTAGATGATTCTATAATTGTCTAAATAAGCGTTTAATCTTACTTAAGAAAAGAAATTTCCAGCACTGTAGATGCCTATTGCTAACAGTAAAGTAGTACCTTCCCCCGATAGGCGACATACAAAAAGAAGAGGCGTAAATATACTAAAATTTACAATGATTGATACATTCAAACATCTACGGTTTTAAATGTTAATAAAATAAATAAATAAAATATTTGCACGTGTGTCCACGTTATTTCTGTTAAGGGTGTTTTTTTTCTTTATTATTAAATTCTGACATTTAAAAAGCACAAATTAAGTCCTCCAAATTGCACACTTGCTTGCTTGAGAATTGTTAACACGGATTCTATCGCCATCTACTGGACAACATGTGGAAATGCCGTTGAAGCTGGATAGACGCTGTCAATGTCTGGACGTTGTGTGTGTCAGACGTTATAAGAACGGGAGAGGTTGGGCGGCGGTATATATTCACGTTCTTTTATATAATCGATACATAGAAGAAAGTTCACCGCACTACAAGATCCCAGTCACAAAGACTCGACTGGGACCGTATTTTTAAATCATTGATAAAATATGTAAACTTCTTAGCGTGCTGTTCTTTTTCTATTTTTTTCCGTTTGAAATTGTATCATTTATTGTTTTCCATATGAGGCCCTCGTGTTTTGTTGTTTCATTTAACGGCTATATTGATCGCATTTACAAATATTTGAGTCCGGTCATTTTGGAACAGTTACAGGCGACGGGTCAGAAACATCAATTTCGATTAAACTGGAAGCCTAAATATGGATTGAATCTAACCAGTCTTTACAATTATTTAGGAACAAGTTTAGGAAGTAGCGACTCCGTTATAACACAAATGAATTACAGCACTTACTTTTTTAAAAAGAAGACGACACAGAATGATTAGGCATATATTATATTCTCGCAGATTTTAGATCTTTGACTGGAAAGCTTGGTAATAACCAAAGTTGGGAAAATCCATATCTAAAGAAATAACATAGAGCCTACATCTAAAAAGTTGACTAAAAAATTAGTTTTTCTAAAAATTACTCTTTAAAAATTACCCCAAACAGCTTGCAGTTTCAGTTATAAATAATTTGACAATTGTTTTTCAGTTTCAGTTTAACATAATTACATACATTAATGACAGATTGTGTCGGAACAAACACGCGATTTAAACACACCACGATAAGTTCCTATTTGACATATTTTTCTGCATTCGGATGAATTTTTACACACGCTATTTATTTTTCAATAGTATTTTGTTCTGTAGTATAGGCTGCAGGAATCACTGACCTGAAAATTATATTTTATAGCTGAATTACCCTACAAATATGAACGATTATTTGTTAACGATCGCACACATATCGTTTCCCTTATAGTCTGCTTTAAAATTAGATGAAGTCTAAATTCAGCTATTGTACAATCATAGAAATAATTTGGTTAGAAATTCGATCAAAATGTATACAGTTAAAATATTTTTTGCAGCTTGTCTCAACTGCAACTTTTTTCTATTAGCGCATTAAATCATGTTGCTTTCTTTTGCATGAAGAACCAATGACACAGTAAGAAAAATGCAAGCTAAATAGTACCCTATGATGGTTTAATCAAAATGGCTGGATCTACAAATGGATAAAGTTTAACGCCATAATAAAATCGATGTTAGGTTACGAGAAAGTATTTTTAAGTAATTGTCATAATTTCGTGTCAAATTGTGCGTTTAATCAAAATCCGTCCATGTTTATATCATCATGGAAAAATGCTGAATGGAAAGAAAAATTGCAGAGAAGCCACTGCAATTCACGACTTAAAAAAAAATAAGTAGGCTATAGCGATTACTGAATATGCGTTTTATTTACTCAACATATTTTAAATATGGATCAATTATCTGTAAATATCAAAAGAAGACAAAACAAAAAGAACAATTTATTTTACATGGAAAATTAGTGTTTTTAAAAAATTTAAAAAAGAATTAAAGGGAGAATATTGTTACTTAAAATTATTAAATTTAAGATAATGAGTGGCATCACATCTAATGGAAATGTTAACGGATTTGCTTTGGGCCTGTTTTTTCAGGGTAATGTCTACACAGAAATATATAGGCTACAAACATGACGATTGCGATGCACGAACAGGTTGCCCCAGAACAGCACAGAATGATAACCCTATATTTCAATACGCCATGCAAATCATTTCGGCTGGTAAAAACCGGCGCGAGTAAAAGCTAATGTGCAGCACTTCATATGAATATTTCCGTGGTTACGTCCATGATTAAAGTGCAATTTTCGGTGGCCTTATATATAGATTGATTATAAAATGACTATATGAAACGGATTCAGTTTGGTGTGTAAATGAAGGCTTGGAGCAAGTCTTGTGGAAACCAGTGATTCAACGTCTTCAAATTAATTTGTTTCAGGAGTTGGCATGCAGAGAGCTCTTCCCTTGTGTTTTGATTTCAAGAAACCCAGGGTGCCCTTTTGATCATTTAAATCTTTCATGGCTACAATAGTTCTGATTGGCTGGACGAGTTAGAAGGGGAAAATCTTTAGTTAAGCAGATAATCTCTTGTTGGGATGAGAGGAGCTCCATTTCAGACCCCCTCGGCCCCCACATGAGACCCCCAACCTCCCGGCTTCTGCGTGTAGGTATTTATCCGCCAGGCAGACTGTCCGCGTTACGGCATAAAGACACCGACACCGCTACTTCAGGATGCTCATGTATTTGGATGTCTGCTATTACATTTTCATCCTGATGGCTCACATGAAGTCTTGCTGCAGCTGGTAAGATCTGAGGGTTCTTCGCATTGTAATTTCCAATAAATGGCAAATCTGACTGAGCGGCTTTTAAGAGGCACTCGGTAATATAAAAAAACAGCGACTTCAAAGAATGAATGAAGTGGTGCATCGTTTGGATGGGGTTTAGCCGTCCGTCACCAGCGCTGTACGTACTGACAGAAAATAAGTTTTGAGAGTTCTTCTACCTTTAAGTGGTGTGTTTTATATTTATACAGAAATAATCTCTTTCTGGGGTTAATAATTCAAGGATGTCATACCGATACATTGGTTTTAAATCTAGTTCGATATTTCACTCCAATTAGGAACTTGATACAGATAATTAGTGATAAAAACCAAGCTGCGGACCTTGTTGCAACCTAATCTAACAAAGATAATCAAAGCAAAACCATAGGAAAATCTGCAAAGTTGTTGATCTCAAATAGAGGAAAACACTGGGCATTAATTTAGGGTGACTATTGTGAAAATGGGACACCTGGTAAAATGGGGCCGTTAACCTTTGCAGTTAATATATGTGCTTAGTAATGCTTTATTTTCTATTGTATGTCGATGTTCCAGGGGCGTTCATGTATTTAGAATGGTATCAAGTTGGGATTCAACACACTGAGAAGATTTTTCCAGAAAGCAAACTTTCATAAAGTGTCCCATTTTACCAATACTCACCATATAGGCCAAATAAATTGTCGTAAAAATCCAGATATAGTTATAATAGGCAAAGTGCCACTTAAGAATGTTTATTCTTTCTTGATTTTATTGACACATAATCCACTATAACTTTTTTTGGCATCTGTACAGTATCAGTCACAGAAAACGCTTCATCAAAGAGGAAATCAATGCAGAAATAAATTGCGTGCACACGTAATATTACTGATGCAAAAATAACACCAACCTTATATAATTGCAAACATTTTGTAGCTGAAGTATTGCCTAAATCCGTGTTCTTACTATAATTCTATTTTACTACACGAAAGAAGCCGCGATATGATTCATGCAAGACTGTCTTAAATCTCACCAACAATTTTCATATACAAATGGAATGCTTAATGACAGCATACTTTTATATGATGACAATTAACATAGCTCTGTTGATAACCGGTACTGCAGATAATCAACACGGTTATGTTTTGTGTGTATATTGATATTGTAGATAAACGACAAATTGCTCTCAATTGAGAAAAACATTAATATCCTGAAAAATGTCACGGTTTTTTATTTAAATGTAATGCAACATCATACAAAGGACCAATATTTTGAAAGTATCCGGCAAAGAGTTGCATAATTAATTATTATAACAAATCAATTAAGTCAATCTCAAAATCTGTATTTGTTTGATACATTTTAAACATTATATTACAGTTCAATATAACTTGACCAGGTTGTCCTGTAGCTTTAGACACGTTCTGTAATTTTTTCGTCAAGATATTTAACAAAATTGAACAAGACCTTGTGGTCTGTATATTGTTTCTGCAAGCTGATCTTCTACTTTGTCTGCTAGGTCGGTGAATAACTTCCTGATGACTGGCCCAAAGGTAAACTTTTTCAAAAATTCTTCTTCCATGCTTGAGGTTAGTAACACGACCTTTCCATGCCATTTCTTACCATGTCTGAACTTCACAACTAGCGAGTGTCAGACGGTTTTCTCACATCGTCATGAATTAATACATTTACAAAATAAAATCTTCTTATGGTCGGGAACCTATATGTACGTCTTCATTACGTTGTATTGATATAAAGAACAGGCGCCGTTACGGTGGGTGGTCATCATCATCATCAGCATGCAACTAGGTGTGTGGTGCCTCAGTCACGTTAAAGACAATTGAGAAAACATATAACATTGAAACAATTAGAATAATTCCCTCATTCACGTCTAAATTAAACTTTTCCCCAGCACGTGCTGCAAATTATTGGTGGGAAATTGACTGAAATTTCTAACGACCGTTCAAGTATACATTCTGAAAGAAATGTCTAAACAGTGCACATCTAGGAATTATATTCCTAAAATATGTTATATTGTTGACAATATGGACATTATACGTTCCTGAGTTACACACTGGAGTTATTCCCTGCCTCGCGCCGGTGGCTTCCGGTATAGGCTGCGCAGCCCTGCATAGGACTGCTGGGTATGGAAAATGGAGGGAGGAGTGGATGAAAATTTGCAAACTAAACCTGAATAATTCGGATGACGTAAAACAGCGATAACTTCGTGTTATCAAGCATTTAGCTAAGCTGAGTTTTAACTTTTTTTTTTTTTTTTTTTAAATGAAAATCACATTTTCTGTCAAAAGAAAAACTAAATGATCAACATATTATGAGGTGAACGGGCTGCAGGAAACGTACATGTAAACCTGGAAGCCCAGTCGTACATGTGGTGAATGTCACGATGGTGTTAGACCTGTGGAGTCTTCCATACAGCCATGTGACGGCCTTTAACCTAATCTCCGTCCTTTGTTGGACTGTCATGGCGGCGGGGGGGGTGACTTTGTTGTCCCCCTTTTGAATTGCAGGCCTACTTAATCTACTCCAGCAGTGTGGCCACAGGGGCTCAAAGGGGCATCGAGGAGTGCAAGTATCAGTTCGCCTGGGACCGCTGGAACTGCCCAGAGAGAGCCCTGCAGCTATCCACACACAGCGGCCTCCGCAGCGGTACGAGCCACCGGCCCCGCGCCCACTCCACGGCCACTAGGTGTCACTGTGCCTGTGTTAGGTGGCTTGGCCCCCAATATCTGCATGCAGTGGGGCATTTTTTTCAATGACAAGCAGTTGTACTCAATGTCAGTACTATTGATCCCGCCTTGTCAATGTCCATTGTTGATTCCACTCCTCAGCAACTGGTTAACATTGAGGAACCAGAGAGTAAAAGTCCAGACCGGGATTTTGAACTACCCACCTGTGGTTCCTCAATGTTAACCAGTTGCTGTGGAGTGGAATCGGTGGAGCGAGGGTCTGGTTGTCGCTGCTGGATTTTAGCTCCGTCCCAAAGGGGTGAGTTGGCACGCTGCCCTAACTGAGGCTTCGCCCACAGCAAACAGAGAGACGGCATTCGTGCACGCCATCAGCTCCGCAGGGGTCATGTACACACTCACCAGGAGCTGCAGCCTGGGCGACTTCGATAACTGCGGCTGCGACGACACCAGAAACGGACAGCTGGGTGAGCAGCATAAGCCAGTGTTTCCCAATCCGGTCCCCGGGGACCCGCAGACAGTCCACGTTTTTGCTCCCTTCCAGGGAGCTGGGAGGAAGCAAAAATGTGAACCTTGTGGCAGGGAGCTGAGAGGGAGCAAAAACGTGGACTGCCAGTGGGTCCCCAAGGGCCAGATTGGGAAACACTGGCATAAGCCCATCGGATGGTCAAATTGTGAGTAGAGATTTTTACGCTCCACAGGGAGGGGTTATCAAGAAATTGGAGAAGGTTAGTACAGTAGGAAAGCTGTGAACAGCGTGCAAGGATCAGAACTATATATATATATATATATTATATATAATATATATATGCTGATTTTTTAATGATGTCTCTTGCTTTTTCAGAGAAATGATGAAAGATAATTGGACTACAGAGTAATTATATCTGAAAATTACTGAAAATTATGATTAATACCTGAGCATTTAGATGAAAACTGGGGTAAATTCATCTGAAGAAATATCATTGTGCCAAAACTTTCAAAAGTCCAAATATATTTCTCAAGTCTCAAGTCTTCAGTTTTTAAGAATCTATCGTCAATGTTGCTGGAGCTGCGTTGGATATAATCGAAGTACAATTGTGGCCAAACTGTGGAAAAACTTCCAGTTTTTAGAGATTGCAGAACTTTATTCAACTGTTGATCCAGTTACTTATTTAATTGTCCAATGTATGATACTTGTAGCATTCTTTGACTGTTTAAAAATATTACTGCCAATAATCGTGTAAGAACATAAGAAATTTACAAATGCGAGGAGCTCATTTGGGGAGAACTTAACTAATAGCTCAGAGTTGTTAAAATCTTATCTAGCTCTGATTTAAAGGAACCCAGGGTTTTAGCTTGCGCTGCACTAACAGGAAGACTATTCTGTACTCTAACTACACGCTGTGTAAAGAAGTGCTTCCTCAAATTCAGTTTAAAATGTTCTCCTGCTATTTTTCACTTATGGCCACGAGTTCTCGTATTTAATTGTGTAGTAATTTTTAAAGCGTAATGCCAAAAATGCGAGGTGTCTCCACAATTTTGGCCACTAGTGTGGATGGAATGGGACTCAACCTTGGTTGTGTTGGTGGCGACATTCCCTTACGAATGTTCCCCTGGGTGCAGGTGGTCAAGGGTGGCTCTGGGGTGGCTGCAGTGACAATGTGGGCTTTGGGGAGACCATCTCCAAGCAGTTTGTGGATGCCTTGGAGACGGGTCAGGACGCCCGGGCGGCTATGAACCTGCACAACAACGAGGCGGGACGCAAGGTAAGCTTCCCCCCCGGGGGTCGAGGAGCCTTGAGCGCGGAGTGCTGGGGGGGCGGGACAGCTTCACCGCTGCGTGTCGTCTGAACTCCCTGGTCCGTAGACAAAGGTCATGGCGACCCTTCAGAACAGCCGGGGAGCTAAAGAGTTTATTTTCCGAACGGGGCCAAGTGGTTGTCTGTAAGAACTCTCATGGTTTTAGGTGGGGCCCGAGATTATATATCCCTACGAGGCCACCAACAGGACGCTGCATGTAAAGTGCCTTTTTATCATTTTTTTTTCCTAAAAAGAAACACAGCTTACCACCCAAGAGTCCTATTCAGGGCCTTATAGGCAAGGTGCCACTCTCCCTATAACAGTGTGTGCGCTGTACCAGAAGGTTCTATTTTCTAGTTTTGAATGTCTTTTATGATAAGGCCTCGACTCAAGATTCTTGGGACCAGTGGTGGAAGCCTTAATTAGAAGACCCTGGGAGGCGTATATTGCAAAGGTCCTGTATTATTTGGGTTTTAAATAAGTGTTTAGTTTTTTATTCTTGCAACGAGGATCTTATATTTGTGCTGGTCTTTGTTGGCCGGGAGAAGCCCAGGGGTAATCACTACAATATCATTGAAGTGTCCAGCCTCTTTCCACAGGTTTTGTCGGATTCCAATAGCACCTGGAACATCATTGAAACTTTAAAAAAAAAAAAAAAAACCTAAAGGCTCGTTTCACTAGTCAAAAGACCTTCTCATAGCAGAACACACACCGACAATGGCTGTGCTTAGCACACACCGCTGCGTTTTCTCCTCGGGGAGCTCTTAGTGTTCGAGTCGGAGTAACTTTGCCGCAAAGTATCGGCGGAAAAAAAAAAAAGAATCGCCCCCTTTTCATTCAAGTGACAGCTGTGTTTTGGTTTGGAGTCGAATGATGTTAAGTGGATATAAAGAAAGAGGAAAGTTTATTTTCATTACACTTGTTCCTTCACTTCTTTGTTTTGCTCATATTATGCAAAATAATATGGATATTAATACAATTATAAAAAAAATTCAGTTTACCATCTGTGGTCACAGTTTTGTTCTTTACTCTAAGTCTAAATAGAGCTCATTCTAACTAGTACCTAAGTAATTATTAGTATATTTGCAGTAAACTAAAACAGTCATAACGGTTAATTGAAAATACTGGTTATTATTCTGGGGCTCTGGGCTTATTTATATACCTTTAATTTTCTCTTAACTAAACTGGCTGGTGGATTAATGGTTGTTATCAGTTAGGCTTATATCAGCCAGAAGGGGTGAACTGAGAAACGTCGGAAGTTCTGAAGTAATACAATTAAGATTGACTTCAATGATCCAAGGGGGGACAATTTTGAAAAAAAAATGACAAATATTGGTTATGGAGCTCCAGTGCAAAAAATTTTGCAGTGCATGTCTACAATCAGATTCATGATGGGTTAGGTTTCAGACTATGGGGGGGCTGAAGGATTGGGCTCCTTTGGTGTGTCTGCAGCAGACACCCTGACCATTGAACAGCTGGTCCTAAATCTCCATCTTTAGCAGACCACTGATATTTTGGGTGTCTGTCCACGTCATGACAGGCCGTGAAGGGGACCATGAAGCGGACCTGTAAGTGTCACGGCGTTTCCGGCAGCTGCACCACGCAAACCTGCTGGCTGCAGCTGCCCGAATTCAGGGAGGTGGGGAACTACCTGAAGGAGAAGTACCACCGGGCCCTGAAGGTGGACCTGCTGAAGGGGGCCGGGAACAGCGCCGCTAGCCGCGGAGCCATTGCCGACACCTTCAGCACCATCTCACGCAAGGAGCTGGTGCACCTGGAGGACTCGCCCGATTACTGCCTGGAGAACAAGACTCTGGGGCTGCCGGGCACCGAGGGCCGCGAGTGTCTCCGGAAGGGCAAGAACCTGCGGCGGTGGGAGAGGCGCAGCTGCCGCCGGCTATGCGGCGAGTGCAGCCTGGCCGTGGAGGAGCGCAAGGCCGAGACCGTGTCCAGCTGCAACTGCAAGTTCCACTGGTGTTGCGCCGTCAGGTGCGAGCAGTGCCGCAAGACTGTCACGAAGTACTTCTGTGTCAAGAAGACGGCCGCGGGAAGCACCGATGGCGCCGGCCGCCGGAAAAGCCTCCGGCTTGAGAAGAGGCAGTGAAGGAGCCTGACCGACCCTCCCGAACGTCGGCGAGGCGTAAACACTGCCACTCGCCCTTAGTACGGTTCCGTTAGCACCCAGTGCCCGCCATTCCAGGGCTATAACTACCAGCATGGATTCAATAAGCCACATCCAAGACAGAGATGTAGATAATGCGTGCAGGTTTTGGGAATTATAGTTACAGTAGAGTATATAGACTCCAGTGAAATGTTAGCATAGTGCTAGTCACGTCTGTCTTTGTGCATTTCCCTAAAAACAAAGAAAAAGCGTCTTAATTCACTTAAATAGGCGCTGGAAGCAGGTGTGTAAGTTCTAGATTTTCGACTGTTAGTTGCAGCTGGTTTTCCTGGACAAAGAACAGAAAAAACCTGTAACGTCAAAACAGGGGTCCACGCATTCCAGTATCCATCGACCTTAGCTCACGTTTGATATGTTTGCGGCTGCTTTTACTTAGACTTTTAGTTAGCGGTTAGACTGGTGCCGATGACTGGATGGCTGTTATTGTATAATGGCTCTGATTTCTATCATCTACCCTTGTAATATTACACTTTTGTTCCTCACCGGATGTGACGATGACACAGGTTTTTCGTGTCTGCCAGTTTCATTAGAACATAACATATAGTGTTATCATGGTTATCAGGAAGACAGTCCGCAAGTTTATTATTTTTTTTTCCAACGGTGGTATTATATTGTACATAAAATGAAGCACTTTGAACATTGTTAATTTATTGCCCATTTGTTCAAGCTTGTGTGTAACTAAGTAGCGTAACCTTTTTCCAAGTAAAGAATTCACATTAAGAAAGCCTGTTTTGACATTTTAATTCAAGACAGTCTAGCTAGATGTTGACATGGCGAAGTGGCCATAGCCATTATAATTAAAATTGCTTCTGCATTTATATTCAAAATGTGTTTTATACTTTATAGGGCACAAATCAGAGCTACAATGAAAACTGTTAACAAACCAATTATGGTTCTGTGATAGCACTTGGTAAAAGGTACAAGCTTTCATAACCTGCCGTAAATTCACGTTAAGTTTGTCCACATTGTTAACTTCGGGGACAGATAACCTGGGTCAATGTAAATGGAGAAAAGGTTTAATTAAAGTCTTCCTTCCTTCATGCTTTATGCATTTCCCCAACAAATGCCTCCCCCCCCACCCCTACTCAAAGTTCCTCTAAAAGAAACATCAGGGAAGTGGGGGGTGCTGGTTTCTTCACTGTTTACTACAAGTTTAATTAACTTTCACAGGACAGAGAGGAGGCTTTGAGGGAGAACATCAAGCAAGTTGCCCTCGAATCTTCCTGCTTGATGTCGTATGCTAATCTTCTTTTTCACACTACCTTCTCAGGGGAGGGGGGGAAAAATTGTTGGGAAAACTTCATGTTGCCTGCATAGGGCTTCCTGTGGTTGTTTTATTCCCAGCCCACCTATTTGGCTCTTTTTAAATGTCCCTGTGCTCCATTTAACAATGAATGGCCAAGCTAATCAGCCCCCTCGGAAATGTGCCGCTATCGCAGAAGCTAATCCGCTCTCCACCTCCTTTAGTGAGCCGTCGCCTTCAAAAGGACTTTGGGAACAGGCTTTGCAAGGATTCACACTGTTCCCTGAATAGAAGTTAGTTCAAGTATTGTGCCGGGACAAGTGGGTTTTATAAACAAATACTTTGCCCGCAACAAACCCACCTGCAAACGTGCCAACAGAAGACTAGCACAAAACCCGGGGCCCTCCAAACGTGATGCGATCTGAAAAGGAGATTAGGCCGCTGCGGGCCGGGGCGACTGCGTCGCTGCAGTGGCGCTTTCCGATTATTGGACGAGGATGCACCTAATTTGCGGCCCATTCATCCTGTGAGTTCAAAGTTAAAATAACGTTTCATATGTCTTCCCTTTAAACGAGATAAACGTGGACAAACGAGATGGATAAAAACGGCGAACTAAAGTACAACGTCTCGTCCGTTCTCTCTCGTTTCGCTGGCCGTTGGCGGTTATATGACGCAAATGAACGAGTCTGAGTGAATAAATACGAATACAGTATTTAATATGAAAAAATGTACAACACATGACAACACAGGCAAAAAAAAAATTATAATAGCCGACCATGTAAATACTTGTGCGAGAAAGGGAGCGCGGCCATTTGAGCAGGACCATGTGCAAACGCACCGATTCAAACGTGGACCTTCTTGAGCTGTAATACTCGTGACACGTTTGCATGCCCACAGCACAGCAGGTGCTGTGTGACCTCACCACTGATGGGTGGGGATGGGGGTCTCAATACTGTGAACCATAAAATACCAATAAGCGCTTCATTAAGATCGAGAAACGCTAGTAATTAAACGAGGGTCGGTTTGAACCAGCAGCGGCCAAATAAGGGAGCACATGCTGAGACGATGCAGCAATGCATTACCCCGCTGGCTTTTTAACTGTCATACAAAACTTCTAATCCCAAGTAATATTCTAATTAGCGTTCAGGCAGAGAGCCAACCAAACGAGAATTTGAAATTACTTTCTTGTTGATGAAATGGGCCAGGCAGCGACGTGACATGAGAACTGGCTTAACGGCTAAAACGCAAATCTCCTCTGCTATTACACTTCCCACTCGTGCAGAACGAAGAGCCCAGATTTGCATGAAATATAACCCGACACATACAGGAAGGCTCACGGTATTGTGTAGGACTTCGTTGAACTCCTGAGCAGACTCATGGTTAAACTGCTTCTAATGATCTGCTAGCGTTGGTGTGATTCTTTAAAAAAAAAAAAAAAAAAAAAGTGGAAAAAAAAAATCACACTTTAATCACAGTGCGGTAGTAATAAAAAGACTGAGCTGCACGTGATACTGTTCGTGGAGCAGAAAGATGGAGTGTCGGGTGCGAAAGCCAGAGACCCGTGGTTCAGCACAGCAGCTTCTGTCTGCACAGACAATTGGCAACTGATGATTAAGCTAACAGACGTTAGCATCTATCAAAACAACACTGAAGGCGATAGACTTTGGGGAATTAGCACTGGAGCAAACGAAATAACCCAGGATAATAAAAAATATTTAAACAAAAATTCAGTCAAGCCTGTATTACTCTCCAAGCAGATGACGACAGGAGGCATTTTTGTAAATGTACACATGATGGAGATTAGGTTTGTTTTTTTTTTTCTTTTTTTTAAAAAAATGCCAAGTTAATTTAGTTTATTGGGATTTAATTTGACAATTCCGTGCTGTGGGACATTCCACCATCCAGATCGTAAACACGGAGACCCAGAGGTGAGCGTGCGCCGCACACACCACGCACACTTAATGCTTCCACAAGTTCAGATGGGAACCAGCCAGTGAGGACTAGGCTTCTCAGTGATTTCCCACAATGCCCCTCTCTTCTGTGACCGAGAGGTCACACGATGCATCGATAGTGTCGTTTCCCAGAAATGTTCACCTTCGACATCCTGAAAAAAGACAGTAAGACTTCTCTACACCCTCATCCCACCCCCCCTCCTCCACAAATCCACTAGCAGACAGATCAAACACTTGCCAATGATCAACATGACATTCTTCCTTTCCAGAAAAAAAAAAAAAAAAAAAAAAAAAAAAAAAAAAAGCCCTTGAACTGCACACGCAACATGTTAGTCATAAAATAACGTCGCGAGTAATATTACGGATCTGCAGCATGTCATCATTTAAAGCACCAAAGCACATTCCAAAAGCGTAGACTTCACGTTTAGAAAGTTTGGGGATCGCTGCCGCGGGGGTGGCAGTCTCAGACGCCCAGCTTGTTGCCGATGGTCATCACCACTTTGAGGATGGGCATGAAGGCGGAGATCTCGCTGAAGTTGCTGCAGCTGACGATCTGCGTATGCACGGCCAGGCCGTGCTGGTAGTTGTGGCTCTCGATGCAGCGGCTCAGCTCGTGGAGGCCGGCGAGGATGCTGGGCGACAGCTGCGGGGGGGAGAGACAGTGTACGGCATTGAGCGCGCTGGCGCCCCCTACTGCCCGGCGCTGAAAAGACGGCTATCGTAGGTAAAACGCTCACCGTGTGCTCCCTCAGCTTGTCATACAGGTACTCCAGTCTCTTTGAGGCGTCGTCGAGTTTCCGTTTCGTTTGCTGTAGGAGAGATCGGGCGACAGAACCGTTAAACTCTGCCTACGCAGGACAGATGAAGGACAGAAACCACCTTCCCACGTGACGCCCACCTACCGGGTCGGCTGCGGCCATCTGGCAGCGCTGCACCAGCCCGTCGAATGTAGTCTTCAGGACCATGTGCTCCGTGGGGATCTCTCGCTGCTCCACCCTCTCAGCTGGGAGCTGCTGCAGGAGCTGTGAGAAATAACGGCAGCCGGAAATCGCAGCTGTTTAACTTCACCTCTCACCTCCTCTCATTCCACCAGGTCTACAAAACTATAACCAACTACAAACATTAAAGACTATTCCTACTTACCAGTCAAAAGTCTAGACACACCTGCTTTTAATGCATTTGTCTATTTCAGCTGTTATATGTTATTTGCCTTATAGTACAAGGCCTCAAGGCAACGCAGTAATACCTATATTGCAATGACCAAGAGAAGTGTTCTACATCTCAACATTTTCTCAGATTTAAAATAGCCCCATCCCCCATTGTGGCGTTCTTTCAGGCAGCTTCCAGATGTAACCACCTATAATGCTTCACCAACAGTCCAGAAGGAGTTTCTGTTCTGGGCACAAGTTGGATTGAAGAGTAAGAGCAAGGTAGCCAACTGATCCCAAACCAGCTCTATAGGGTTTAGGTCGATGATCGTGGAGGTCAGATCATCTGTCACAGTCTTTCATCTCCTTCCTGGTTTCTAGGATAATACTTGCTACATAACCTCGAGGTGAGCTTGGGGTCATTATCTTGTGGAGCAGCAGATTTTAAATAGGGGTGCCCAGACTTTTGACTGGTACTATATTCCTCAAAAGGGCTGACAGTTAAAAAATACCCTTTAAAGAGATTACTCACTGTAAATCTGTTGTTTTTAATAAATAATACACCACAAATGTAGCGTA